GAGACATGGGTATTGCATGAATTCCGCACACGAACGATGACTCGCGTTACAAACGACACCTCGTGCCTGCATCAAACAGCTGCCCCGACGTCTTGTCCGTGGGTTCGCGGGTCGCGGTTGCCGAATTAATTACTGTTGTGCTTCTTTCGAGCAAATAGAAGTATGCGCTTGATTTCGTGCCCACCAAAATGCTCATTGTCGTCGCAAGGTGTGTCCCTAAAGGTTGTGTCTGGGGGGGGATGCTGGGGTCCCCAGTCGGTACGGTTGAACCCCGGGTTATTTACATGCAAGATTTCCCGCTAGAGCATCGCGCCAAAGGTGACATAGTTTAGTTCACTTTAGTTGCGAAAACGAACCCGTCCTCATGCAAGTTGAACCGAATGGGCATCGGTCGCGCGCAACGGCTGCCCTGCTGTACAAGGCAGTCAGGCCGCTGCTCAACACATGCTCAACGCCCGCCTGCACATCGGAAGCGACCCCGCCAAAGATAGATTACGGCACTCTGAATGCAAAGAAGTGGATCCATGTCGTGATAGAGTTGATAGTGCGGAGCCGACAGCAATTGATGATGCCGGCTTGCCGCAAGAAAGCGCCTTGTGAATTGCTTGTCGACGAAGATTATACAAGTTTATATGTAATAGCCGTAAGTAGAGTTTGTCCCACCCGTATATCCCACGCTGAGAAGCTAGACCTCCTCTAAATCCGAATGTCCCCAGTTTTGCGCCGCGCTGATTTTGAAATGCGTAAGATTTTGGATTCCATGTGAATTTTGTCGATCGGAAATGAAACCTGATAACAGCTGTCAAAGCTATTACAAACATGTAGATGAAACTGAAAATGCGTCCTAGTACGGAAACCCTGTACTATTTGGAGTATGTTCGCCCCGGTAATCCGTCATGATATTGCGAGGTTGCCACCTCCAAGAATTTGAGCCTATTGAAGGCTTGCGCATATTAACCACTCTGTCCACTTAAGAAGAAATCTAGCTCGCTTGGGCCGCCTCTGCTAACCTCATTCTCTGCAAGCTGCTCGAGCAAACTCAAAAACGGATCCTTGCTATCAGGGTCGGTATGCGCTGAAGCGCCTGATGTGCTGCCTGCGCCGGGAGTTGGCTGCTGATCGTATGGAGGCGGCGGCATGCTGAGCACAGGATCGAAATTAATTGTATGATGATGCTGGTCTTGGTTTTGGTTGAGATTTGCTGTACGAGGGACCGGTGATGGCGCTAAACTTGCAAATTGCGGTAATGGAGAGAAGGAAAAGTTTGGCGAGAAAGGGAGAGCGAGTCCACCGCCGTTGAGGTTCGGGGGGTTTAGTGAGCTGTTTGGTACTGGCGGCGTGCAGGGAGGTAAACTAGAGTCAGTAGGGGCTTTGGTATCTCCAGGGCTTGAGTTTGACTCTGAAGTTTCGCTCTCAGAAGGCCTATGCATATGTACAGCTGGTGGCAGATGTGTGGCCAATGTGGGTGTTGGAGGTAGATGTTGCGATTGGGCCGATGCTTTGGAAGAAGAAATGGTTGCTCTCCGCCTCTTGTTTGGATGGCTACTTGAGTAATGAGAGCGCTGTGATGGAACTTGTTGCTTTTGGTATCCCTGGATATTTCCAATGACGCCGCTGGTCATGTACATGTTGTTGCGTTGCTCGATGTTGAAAGTCGCAAGGCTAAGTGAACCGTCAGTAACAGCATTCTAGTCTAACCAGCTCTCCTACTCACCCCTCGTTCATAGACTCAATAGCAATGTCCATGAATGTGATGTGCGCCCCATCAAAGACTTGGCCAGGATATCTGTCAAAAAAGTCCTCAAGCTGGAATACCGGAGCATATCGCATCGGATTGCTTGCCAGGGATTGCACAAGCTCTGAATGACATCCGTAAATGGCCTGCAGAGTGTCTCGTTGGTGCTGAACACTCGCCCAGATGAAGCGAAGCTCGGAGAGCTGCTGCATCTCACGCGAGAGAAACTCTGCACTCACTGAGAAGACCTCGCCTTCTCGACTTGGATAGTGTGCACCATGGACGTGAATGGTGCCTGCGGTGCATACGCAATAGCCGATAAAAGCTGGCCAGTCCATGATGGAAGAGGCTCTTCCAATCTCAACGAGCTCGGCAATGGCGTTTGCGTGGAGAAAGCACAGATTGGTGGCTTCGATTTGCCAGGGTTGATGCTGAGACGTCCCTGACAACTCGGCGAGATCCACAGGAAGAAATGGGCGGTATATGAGACAATGTATGAGATGATAAACCAGCTTGCTAAGAACCAGTATGGTGCTGTCGGGCTGGCCAAAGAGCGCATCAATCGATGTGAACGTGTCCTGCGTATCCGAGGCCCATGTGTCGAGTTCTTGGCGGATCTTGGATAGGTTGGATAATGAGTGCCAGGGAAAATGTGAGTCGCCCTTTACACCGCCTGCTGCAAGGTAGCGGTTGGTTATTCCTAGGATCCGTGATATACCGATTAGCATACCCATGCTTCCCTGTCCTCCTTTTCCCGTACCGCCCATGTACTGCAGGTTGCATCCATTTGGAAAATAGTCACCGTCGATTAACATTCCACCCGGATGAAGCTGCCAGCTCGGCATTCGGAGTACAATGGATTCATCTGCGATTAATGAAGGTCGCTTGGAGCCGGTTGCAGCAAAACGATCCATGAGGTAACAAGACCAGAAAAGTCGCCGCCGGCCTTCTCGTTCGGCCGATGTAACCTTGACGGCGGTGGGCAGCTCGCGATGCAGATCGAGGGCGAAGACCATGCTGATGGCCGAACCTTTTGGAAAGCAATGTTAGCTCCACGTGATTTTTGCTTGGGTGGCGCAATGCATACTCAGCAGCATGTAGGCTTTTTTGCCCTTGCCCAGCTGAAAACTTGCTTGCGACAGCAGCATGAGCGTCTGCAAGGCCTCGATCGAGGGCTCATCAATGTCAAGCTCTAGCCGAGCGCGGCGGGCATACTCTTGTCCGATTCGCACAGCAGCGCCGTATCCGCCAAAGTGGGGCGCATATCTGGGGTTAATGAATTAATGTTGCTCTACTATGCTCAGGGATAGACGAAGCCAACGTACCTGGCACTCACGGCATAAATGGCATAGGCTAAGTGTCCGGGCAGTTGATTGGCCTGTAGTCGCTGTCTCGTAGTCGACTCATCCAGAACGTAGTAGGGTTTGCCGTGTATTCTGGCAAAGTAGGTATCGAGAAGGAGATCTGGTGACAGGTTTGGTGATTGCACACTAGAGACTATTAGCCACAGGGGTTGGTGGGCAAGAGGCAAAGGTTGCTGCTTCAAGCTACCCACCTTGGTTCAATGGGCGACATGAGCTGGGATGCATGGCTGGTGGAGTTTGCGGAGATTTGTGGGGTTGGGTGGAGTAGCTGGGACTTTGGGGCATCTGATGGTTTCCGGTCGACGGTGGCGGCGTCTTGGGCGGAGGCGGTGGTCGAGGTAGTGGCAGTTGCAGTTGTTGTGGTGGTGGCCGCGGGGTTGGTCTCGCCTAGGTCATCGCTCTTTCCTTCAGAGACCAGGCGCTTTTCCAGGCCGTCAACACGCTTCAACAGGGCTTCGAGAACGTCGGTTTTGGGGCCTCTCTTCTTTGGCACGGCGTCTGTTGGGCGCGGTCAGCTCAGCTTACGGTTGAATACGGGTGGGTGGCGCTCGGGGATGGAGCGTACCATAGATACACGGGCAGTTGAAGACTTGACAGGCTTCGCAGGTTGGGCGGGTGCGGTTGCATTTGATCTGTGGCCATGGTCAGGATGCAGGCGGTAGTCGTGGTAGTGGACAAGACACGGTACCTTTCGCTTTCTGCAACTCTTGCAGTTCATGGCCTCTCGGGGTTCGTTTGAGACTCGGCGGGCAGGCAGTCTGTCGATGCCAATCTGAGGTCTGGCCATTGCGGCAGCCAGAGACTGGGAGACTTCGGTGGACATGGCGACGCTATTACTATGGGGCGGCGGACCATAAGCATTCTCTGGGCAGCAAAAAGGCGGAAGTAGTATGAACAGGACGTTGGAAAGAAGAAAACATGACCCCAGAAAGGCAGCGTAAGTATGTACGATAATAGTCCAAATTAAAGCCGCTGGCGGTGGAGACGGGCAGGGGAGGGGGTTGTGCGCGGACTGCGAGGCTTGATGAAGCGGGAGCGAGCGCCCACGCACGGCGATGCGAGTCGGTCGGCAGGTCGGCAGGGACAAGGGCAGAGGACAGAGCAGAGGGAGGGGGGGATGAGAAGGGCACGCGTGATGGCGATCACGGGCTGTCTAGCCCAGGAGGGTAGGGCAGCCTGTGGTGCTAGAGAGGGAGGGTGTGCATGTACATGGCCGAGAGTGTACAAGTACCGGTCGGGGTGCAGTCGCGCAACCGCTGGGCCGAAGGGCGATGACGGCGCTGGTGAGATGGGATGGGATGGCATGAGAGAGGCCCAGAAGGCCGGGGGGATGCCTCGGTCGAGTGGTCTCTAGTAGGCCCAGGTCAGTGACCCCCTCCCCCCTCCCCCGTCCCCCATGCATGGGCTGTATCTGCAATTTAGCGCTTTTGATTGCGCTCGTCTGACGCAGCCAGGTCGTCTGAGGCAGAGCCAGGTCGTCTGAGGCATAGCCCGCCCAGTAGTGCCGGACGGCCTCGCTTCTTCTGTTCTGGAAATCTGGGGTATCGCCCGCACGCCAATCACTCGCGCCCACACACACCGACCCGGCCTCTGCACGCTGTCCCCATCCCCGGTTGCCGCTACGCTTCCGGTTACTGACTTGCCCTTCCTTCACCCACACCCACACACACACATAGACACACACATGTGCAATGCACTGCACTGCACCCACACAGGCACTCACTCACGCCTCTTGCACGAGAACCGCCACACCCCCCGCCTCGCATCCTGCATCATCATCATCATTATCATCCATCACTTTTACCAGACACGTTCTGCATGTGATTATGCTTGCTTGCTTGCTCGTTCATTCATTCATTACCTATCTGCTGCACTGCCCGTCATCCCTTCATGTCGCAAATTTAAAAGTGCCCCCGCCCACATGCCAGTCGCACAAAGTCATAGCACACGTTTTGCCCAACCAGCTTCCTAATCGTCTCCACCGTCGTCCATGCAGACACATCAGCAATCCCATACGCTGTCCAGCCTGCCGACGTTGCAATCTCCAATGTGTCCACCTTGCGCGGCCCACTTGCCAGGTCGACAAACACCTTGCCTGCTGTCTTGGTCCCCACCGCTCCGAGTACCTTGGGGCTGCCCTCGGGACTGCCGTTGCGCCCAGCCACCCGGTAGTGCTTCAGCAGGGGCACCACCAGCAGCGACTTCTCCGCCGGCAGCGCTGAGATAATCACAAACGGCTGTTGCAGTCGCTTGACATCTTCAATCGACCGCACCGGCGACACGTCAGTAGATAATGGACCATGTGACTTGAACCCTATAGTGTAGATAGGCCCGATGCCTAGGTTCTTGAGTGCGAAAATAGACGCCGATGCATCACCCTCGTTGTTGGCTAGCAACAGCGCTGCCTGCCCGCTGTATGCCGACGGTACAAAGTCGCGTGTCAGTGTCGCTCGTATCCCCTTCCACCGAGTATTGTCACCAATCAGCGATGCATTGCTGCTTCCCGGCGGCACTAACACCGTGTCAACCTGGCCAATAGCCCGCGCCGCATTCGACAGAGACGGTAGGTATGGCGCAGACGCTCCCAGCGGCGGGTTGATATAGGCCCCCCCAAAGTTGTTGCGCCGGAGAATGTGCTCAATCGATGCCTTTGGCCCTCTCTCGGCAAAGCTAAATGAATGCGGCAGGCTAAGCTCATTGAAGCACTTCTCAAAAAACATGGCCTGCGACGTCGACCGGAAGCTTCCAATCCCGTATATATCCCGCTTCGGCATCTGGCCCATGGTGTGCAGCGCCGCATTGATCTCGGCTGCACTCAGCTGCCCCGGCGCTGCAATCATGGGCAACAGTGGGTGCGTAATGGGAGTGAATATCTTGTTGAGAGTCCTTGAGAGCTGACCCATAGGCCCCATGTTAAGTCCAGAGAAGGGCGGGTGTGGGTACTTGGCTTGAATCGTCGACCGGAAGTACTCGAGCTCGTAGTTCTCCTGCATCGAGTTGACCAGCGCATACATCTTGACAATGTCTCCATACACCGCCCCCATCTCGAACAGCCTTTGCGTTTCAGGTGACGTCCACTTGAAGGTGCCCGAGAAGTCGTGAAAGGCCGAGATGATCTTGGTGCATGCCTTATTCTCAGCCAACTTCTTGCGGATTTCCTCGGGCAGCCACAGCTCCACGTCAATGTACTCGCAGCCCCATTGTATCGCGCGCGCAAGGTATCGGTAGTAGAGCGAAGGGTCGTCCATGGGAAATCGGCCGTTCTCCTTTGTGCACCTCGTTGTAAAGATGATGGGCAGCTCAGTGCGCTGGCGCAACACCATGACCTGCTCGCCCACATACTTGAGGCTGGGCACCTTGCTGATGGTCCCATCCGCCAGAGGTTCTTCGAGCAGGTCCACCCGAATCTCTATCGCATCCGCACCAACCGACAAGATATCCAAATTCGGAAGCGCGGCATGTACGTCGGGGAACGTGGTCGAGATTAACGTCGTTCGCGCCTTCTTGGTAAGGTCGCGGTGGGGGCCAATCTGGCCTAGGATAAAGGAGAGGTAGCGCGAAATGTCTCGACGGAAAAAGGGCGATCGTGTGTAGAGATATTCATAGTCGCATCGGTCGGTGATGCTTTCGTCCAGCTCGTAGCTTCCATCCACCCGGTGTGTGTTGATCAACAGCCTGGACCGGTCCCAGCTGTCCAAGTGCGGCTTTGCAACCAAGCTGCTCAACCCATACACTGTTTCCTTTGGGCCGGCCAGCGCGTCCTCTATCGACGACGCCAACTCCCATCTCTGTCCCAAAACATCGGCAATTGTGTCTACAATGCTTTCCTCGCCCTCGTTGTGCAGGATGAGGAGCGCGGGTCGGGCGCCATGTGGAATCTCCTGCACGTCAATGACCATACCTTCTTTCAGGTGAGGGGAGGTCACGCCCCCGGCAGTCTGCACCATGGTGGCCATGGGTGAAGAAGATAAAAGTTTGGTTCTGTTGATGTTGTCGCTTTGGATTAGCCGTATGTGTTGAAGCCGTTGATGCGATGCTGGATCTCGGCGAGGATGCGACGGGCGGAATACAACTGGCAAACTGCAACAACCGTCGCTACCATCTCCAAAGCGTCGACGAGGCTGAGGCAGTTGGGGGTGCGTCTGGAGAAATACAAGCGCCTCACAGTGAGCGCTGTACTAGATTCATCCGTGGGGGGGTGGGATGCAGGACTGGCTTTTGATTTAATCGCAGTGCGTGTGAGGTTTGGAGATAGAGAGATAGCACCATGTCCTGAACAGAAGTGGAAGCCCCAAGCCTCCGCAAACCGCGCGCGTTTGTTCGCTTCAGAGCCGTCCTATGGCTGGACGGTGAATATGCCGTTGGCATTGGCACTAGCTCGGAGCTGTAGGATAGTCGACGGTCCCGGCGCGGGCACCAGGGCGCCTTCGCCGATAGCTGCGCCTGAAATTTATCCGTCGGCTTACCACACGCCCACTCAACCCCCAGATTTCGCACCAATCACCTGATCTGCCATGCCCCAATCCATCTGCCCGCCAAGCATCCACCTCCCCATCGCCATCCTTTGACGCGAGATGCTGCTGACGTTGGCCGGTCCAGATTGGTGGAGAATGGGCGTATAGCCCATCGCCCACTGACATCCTGGGGCCTGAGGCAACACTCGACTCCCATCTGCATGTCTGAGGCGTCGACTGCCCAGCAAAAAACACCACATCAATACGAGCTTGGTATCCCGTGTGGGCGTAAATCATTCCGATCCACACGCCCATTACTGTCGCCAGGCCTGCGCCTAAATCTCCACGCCTCTGCAACTCATCAAATCCCCTTCAATCAGCCCTATCGCAGTCGCTGTTTGGGCGGTATGCCGTATTGGTGTTGGGTAATTACAACCTATGCCTCCCCTGTGCAGGCTAATCCACCCTCCTGAAAGATCTGCAAAAAAAAAAGATATCGTTCTCCTCTCTTCACAACAATAGCCTCAAGTTCGCCTCAAACGATCGATGTAAAACGACATTGCCTAATCGACACGCGTTCCATCACTTCCGGTTTAATCGTTTGTACCAAAGAAAGTTCACATATGCAATATCTCGGTGATTTGCCACTCTATATTAGTCCGGAGCCCGCTGTACATTGATGCACCTTTGTTTGGCCCTCTTTGACTTTAGCCGTTAACCCTGAAACACGGGTGGGAAAGGTAGAGAAACCTCAACTCTCTATGCCGGTTCCAGATTTTCCGTGACCAATTTTACTGTAACGCTGGTCCACTTCAACGGTAGAAGTACCAACAGTGCCGTGGAACTAGCTGATCAAGTCAGCTCAGAGACCATCACAAATTTCCATGTAGCACCAACATGACCACGGAAGATTTTGTATTGGAGCATTTGCGATTTCTTCTCGTCGTATTTTTCCATTGTTCTTCAGCTATGGTCAACCCGAGGTATTGACGCATCGTGTCTTTCAAAGTACTTACCGAACGGCTAAAATGATGCGTCGAATGTATACGACACTATACTACCATCAAAATGACGCATTCCGAGGGACTAAAGCCTATCTAATCGCGCATGCTGCAGCACTTCGGGCCAAAACAAAACCATTCTTCCATGACCAATGCATGCTCAACCGCATCTCTATACCACTTTGGACCCGTGTGGAAGCCTGCGGATACCATATTCGATCACACCGCTGAATCGCCATCTCGGCAACTTGCAGCATTCCCGTGCCATGAGCAGATGTAGCAATATGGAGCCGCAAAAGATTCTTCTGGGTTTCACCAGAGCAACGCTACGTACAATTGAGAGACCCTTCATCGTGACACTTTCTGCACGCAACTTCTTCCCAGTCAAGCTAGCCGCCGTCTTTTACAGCCTGATGTCCCTTCTTCTCCGTTTCTATTTTGGATCGGACCATCGGAGTATCTTGACAAACGTACTGCGTATAGGCTAATGTGGTTGTCCCACTTGTCTGGTCCGATCAGCTTCATCTGTAGATGAACTACATTCTCACTAATATGAAACAACACCACCGGCTGAAGAAACACGATGAACAGATATCACGAATCGAAGATTCTGATGCAATAGACAACCCACATGACCTGGCTTGGTCCGAGTACGACAATCAGTTTGTATGATACAACCTTGTAATCTCAACTCAATCAACGTGACACCGTTCAGTAAAACTCTTCAAACATGACGGAGACGTATATAAGAGGTATCTCTTTTCTGTAAGAAGTATCATCTTACCCATATCCTATGGTGCAAATGCCAACCATGATGTATCTTCAGCTAACTCCACTCATGTCTCCAGATCTGAATCAAACTCCGTTGGTTTAAATCAGCCTGGAAGAAGCGGTGGTCGCTCATTCTCTACTGTAACTATAAAGATTCTGCACATCACTGCCGTCATCTTCCAAACGTACGTGTTTCATCAGACCATCTGGTCTAGTCTGTTAGCAAACATGCCGGAACTCATTACTGCTTCGTCTCTATTCGAGGGTGAAATGGATTGTCTGTCATGCTCACGACTTCCAACGTGTAGGCAAGCTATCGATGGATGCTGGGCCTTTCCAGTATAGTTATATTGGCATCTTGTGAAAGCATTAACACGAACAAACAAGAGATGATCACAAAAGACAAGGCACCCCAATTAACGTCCATCCCTGCGTGACGCAAATCCCTCCGTGCCGCAAAGATCCTACAGTTTAAACACCACAGATATTCTAACACAGCTTATATTTGCCTAGTACACTATAGAGCTATTCTGTAGACCTTTCTCTATGCTATAAAAGCTTAGAAGGAAAAGATTACACACTATTGAGCTCTGCTGTCGCTTATACCTTTCGATCTACGGCAAGCTCCAATAGTTTTATACCCCTATTTTAACATAATAGCTAACAGTGAATTCTATCTCGGGATAACAAGAGTGTAGACTAATAACTATAGAATATTATCTAAAGTTCCTACTAAGGATTGATCTTAGTAAACTTTATTCTGAATTTATCCGTGAACAAGACTCGATCTTAGGCATTAGCCGCTAAGCTTAGCGTGCTTATATTAGATCTTAGGATCTTTCCATACTGCATTACACTAGCCTGATAAGCGTAAAGTGTAGCGCGCAGGTCTGGAAGTATCCATGCCAATCACGTGAGATCCATCTTCTGCAGCAGCGGTTCCCTTGTGTTCGTCGTAGGCAGTGTAGTCAGATCTGTGTTGACCATCTCTGCAACTTAAAACCTAAATTTTGGGCAGAGGACGTTAGTAGTGATCAAGTCGCAGCTATTGATGTGTTCTTACAGAAGGAGTATCTCTACTGGTTAGAAGGACTCAGTCTGTGTAAGAATGTAGGGAGAGGCGTCGTCTCGATGAGAAAGCTCTGGTCGCTAGTTCAGGTAAATCGTCTAGGATCTGGGTGCCTGTGTAGTATAATTGAGATGCTAATGCTGGCAGGATATGGGCGACCAAGATAGCCTTACTCAGCTTGTTCAAGACACACAGCGATTCCACTCTTTTCAATACTATGTCGACTCCACTCATATTGATAGGTATACAGGCATCTTCCGGGCACCCTTAACTGTGGCCTATGACGTGCAACCAACACATATTGCTTTTATTGATAGAGTAATCTCCTAGTTTAAATTTATTTATCTGCTCCGAGGAAGCTACGTGTATATACATATATATGTATATATAGGAGAAGATACATGAGAAAATGAGTGTTGTATAGGGAACAATTACCAAGATAGGTATAGGAGTGTTTTTTTTTCGCTAGCCCCCCCGGTCTTGCTAATACATCCAAGGCTTTGAACTCGATCAGCATCCAACATGCACCCCAATTGAATTCGTTCCTGGCGCCCCAACGGAGTTAGTACCTTCCGGGCAACTCCCAAACTCGCTTCTATTGCCGTTACAAGCTGGTTTGTTCCAGAATTGGATGTTCGCCTCGCTAAGGTCGGAAACGATCAGACACACAGTGCTGATAGCGACAATACACGCCGAGCTGGATGTCAGACTATTGTCGAACACTGTGCCGTGTAACAGGCTTGTACCTTAGCGTAAGCCCGTTTGTGCAAGGGCAGAGCGGCTTCGCGCGCTTTGATGACGTTGGCCATTTCATGTCAAGGCTGGTAGGCGTAGTCTGCATCGCGAATGAAGACTTTGACGTTGTCGAGGTGGGAAAGCTCAGGGTGTGGGGCAGCGGTGATGGTTGGGACCGATGCCATGAGAGCCAACAGGCTGACGAGGAGTGAGGAGTTGCGTGTAGACATGTTGTGTTGTTAGATTGCTTGAGGCTACAGATCGTCGACGATTTACTGATGAATAGTCAAGAATGGCCGATAGAGAAAGATTGAAGCTGATTGAGGTGAGTCGAGATAGAGGGGCGATATGCTCTTGTCTTTATAGACTTGTAATATTCAGCTTGGTCGTAAAAGACTGAGTTGATGGCAGCTGGGAATACTGTGCTACAGGAAATGCTAAGGAAAATGACTGTGTTTTGATGTAGCGGAACCGAATTGTGTGTAGAGCTATACGTTATCAAGGTCGAAGTACTCTGCGATTGTTGCGGCACAGAGGGATTTGCGTCACGCAGGGATGTGTGTTACTTATTATGGAAAAGTAGCAATCTACGTTACGCAAGTACATAGATACCAACAACCAAAAATGGTGGAAAACGCAGGGGCGAATGGAATACATGTATTAGTGATGCCAACGGGCTTGGCACTCTGACCTCATCCAAAACTTCGAGTGCGGCGAACGTCGGAGGTGATGCCATCACCGAACTTTCTGTCAACATCCACCAACGACACAAAATGTTTGCAAGACGCGCAATTCCCTCGGTACCTACCACGAATGAATTCCCGCTACGTTCAATGCCCCTAACAATCACCAGGCCTTCCGAGCCGCCACCCGCGCAAGCGCACCTCGCTTTTCCCCAACCACACGCTTCCTCACGCCATTCCAAGTACGACTGCTCTCGGATGAAGTCCGCTCCGCAATCGACAGAGCCATTGCTTCATCTCCAGTAGTTTTGTTCATGAAGGGCACACCTGAGACACCCCAATGTGGTTTCTCAAGAGCTAGCATCCAGATTCTGGGCATGCAGGGCGTAGATCCGGACAAATTCACAGCTTTCAACGTACTAGAGGACCAGGAGCTGAGGCAAGGTAAGGGAGTCACATAATGCATGAACTGGAGTGGTCGTATATTTTCGGGTTGAGCTCTGTTTGATTGATGTCAATTGGCATGGAATGCGCCACTGGAAATATCTTGCTGACAAATGGATCAGGAATCAAGGAATACTCAGAGTGGCCGACGATACCACAGCTATATGTCGACAAGGAGTTTATTGGAGGCTGTGATATTCTTATGACGATGCACCAGGATGGATCGCTTGCTAAGATGCTTGAGGAGAAGGGTGTGGTTGTTCCTGCCGAGGGACAAGGGCAGGCGCCCTAAAAAGCTTACTTATGAAAGCGGCAGGGAATACAGGACATGCGAGCTACTTATATAATACTGTTTTGTATTGATTGTGAGTGCCATCCAATAGCTTGCATCACGGTAACAAGAATGTGTACATATGACTTATGAAACATGTCCCTTCGGTTGGCCTTGTAAGCTAATGCTCTCCATGTGCCATTTCATGTTCGCACGTACATGCGCTATTACTTGTCGTCAGGGCGCACCCTCCTCACCAAAGAAGACGAAAATCCTATGGCGTTGCCCAGTATCAAATCGCACTCGAGCACACATAATGGGGTGAAGAAAAGATATGCAAAGCGCGCTTCAGCTACGCATCCACTGAGTGTAATTTTCAAAGGTAGAACTCAAGATCCCGATAGATTACATTGGTAACTAAAGACCAAATCACGTAGATGCCAGTAACGACTATCGCAGACACCTCTACCAGACGGCCTCAAGATCAGCTTATGAGACTTCATGAGAGCACTCCTGCAGACCATCCTCTCAAGCGACAGCCCCAAAGAATGCCTCTCTGCCTTGTTCGTACCCGAACGCGGAACTTCCTCTCTTTCTCCAGGAAAAAAAAAGAGGAGTCTCGCTAAGAAAGTATGTTGCATTCATTGAAGACGCAGCGTCACAGGCTGCTACTACCGGGGACAAATACGGTGCCAGCTGCCCGATTACCTTTCCGCATTTCCAGTAGTACGAACCGTTGCGATTCGGCTTCGAGGCCACGGCTACATGTCCCCCCCCGGCACGCTGAGTTTAGAGAGGATATACAGGACTTGGTGCCGCGAGATAAGCAGATTGATGGGTTTTTTCGAGGTGGAAAAAGGGGAGCAGTGTGCGTTTTGGCAAGGGAGGATAGCGCAGCTTGCGGGTGTGTTACTTGTCTAGGTTCCGTACTAGCATGTCTACCGAAGGAGTGAGATGCATGTAAGATAGTCATTCTCAGTAAATGCAATGACACGTTTCCAATACGTCAATGCATCGCATGCCAGAAGATGCCTGGTTCGGGTAAAAACGGGGTAAAGTTTATTTTATCTTTAACTATTCTTCTTGTTCTTATCTATTGCAAACAATACGACCGACCACAGGATAGAGCGCGATATATGTTTCTACGACAAGAAAAAGAAAGGAACATACATCTTGCAACTAAACCCACTCCCTAGTGTGTATCGTAAAAAGCAAAACGTCTAATAATCTAGATGGGATATCTTGAATGTTCAAAAACTTGAACCCTCGGAATGAAACATCTTTCTGTCCTCCTCTAATTCACCATCCTTCTAAAGAGAGTTTAATCGAAAGAGCTCTTGAAGACCCATCGCTGGTCTTCGGGCTGCTGGAAGGGCACGCCAAGCTCAAACAGGGTGGTGACTGCCTCGGCAAAGTCCTTGAAGAAAGCATCGCTGTCCTTGGCATACAGTTGGGTGTACTGCTTGAAGCTCTTGTCCTTAACAAGCTCCATGTCAGTGGGCAGCATCATGAGGCTCTTGGTCTTGACATCCTCAAACTGCTTGGGACCATTCCACTTCTTGTACGCCCACTTCTCCTCGAGGAGCAGCTTGAAGTAGTCGTTGGTCAAGGTAGTGGGAGAGAAGGTCCAGGGACCGTCAAAGCCGGAGCGGTCGGTGTGGCAGCGGCCGAGGGCGTGGGCGCCAGAGAGGGCGACCATGGCACGATCATCGAATCCCATGCGGCCAAAGATGGCGCGGATGTGGCTGCTATCCTTGGTGGCATCGGGCAGACGGCCATCAGGAGTGCAGAAGGCGACATCACGATCGGTACGGCCAGCACGGTAAGGAATCTTAGGGCCCTGCATCTCCTGGATGGCGCAAACACCACCGAGAATCCACAGGTCCGAGTAGCTGATCCAAGGGAAAGCTTGCTTGACGGGCTCGAGGAAGTCGCGAGCAGCCTTGAGACCAGCATTGGCACCGTGGTCAGCTTCGGGGGCAAAGCGCATGGTTGCGCCGTTGGAGCCACCAGTTCCCGTCAACTTGTCATAGCTGTAGCATGTCAGTCTCTAGTTCAGTAGTATCAAGTACAATTGAGTATACTCACGTTCCCGAGCAGTGCCATGCCAAACGCAGCAGCACAGGGCCGTAGCTACCATCATCGTAGTTGTCGTTCTCCTCCAGTCTCTTGGCGATTGTATCGTAGACCTTCTGGTAGTCCTCGAACCTGGGAGTGAAGACCTTGGTGCTGGTCTGGCCAAAGAGCTCTGGCTTGTATGTGTATAGGGCATAGGCACCAGCGCCGACAAGCAGAGCACCAGCACCAAAAGCTAGACCGGTTGGGTTGCCCTCATGCTTATCAGGGCCGTCTTCCTGGGAGGCGTATCCGCGTCGTTGGTTGCGGAAGGCGTTTTGTGTGGGTGCAACGAAGCGGGCAGATGAGCGGATGGCGGTGGTGCGGAATGAAGGAGCAGCAGTGCGCAGAGCGCGGGAGAAGCTTCGAGAGGCCGATGCCATTGTGTGGGTGTTTGTATATGTGTGTGTTGATAAGCTACAAACAACTTGTTTGTATGTAGAAAGCGCAATTGACGAAGGCAGAGGCCGAAATGAGAGGCAGAAAGCCAGTGAAAGTAAGATGATAAGAGACGTCAGCAAAGGGAGCGTGAAGGTTTTTATGAAGGCACGAGTATTTTTCTCGGTGTCCCGAGGGCGATAGACTTTCTTTCTGGAAGGCACGCCAAAAGACCCACCTCTGACAGCTGTGGGCCAATCACATGCGTGGCAGAGCATGGCTGTCTGGACCCTTGCGATTACGATATCTGAAGCAACGGCGATACAGGCCCGATAGCTTAATCTGTGCTTCTCGACTCGCCGAAGAGCGGCTTCTGGGTTGAAATCAGCTTACACACGTAGGCAGACCAGCGGCAGTCGAGCAGAGGAGGGCCAAGTGGTTTTGTAACTTGTTTGCACTAGGCACTGCCATGGTGCATATTCCGACCTCGTCCCGAGACAGATCGACGCAGGCCAGGCGCGCGGAACGAGGGGCAACGGCATGAGGCTCTGCGGCAGCCGCCTCGAGATGCCCTTGTCGTCTTTAACAGACAATCTGCAGTCCATGTAGTATATTGCCTCTGTCTCACCGTTACTACACCAATGGTTTTTTGCTGTCGTCGTTGCTGCGTTAGTCACCGTTCCTGGGTACGGCTGCTGACTGGCCAATCACAGTGCCGTCATACTAAGCCATGGAGGCGTGACTCGTGCCGCATCCACATGCCGTCCCCATGCCGTCCCTCTCCAGCGCGGTACAAGCGGCAAATAGTGGATGCCCTGCTACAACAGGCAAATCTCTCCATCTAGACACAGGGCCCCACTGTCTTACGGTTACACATGTATCAAGGCGGCAAATCTGTCCGGTAACAAGCCAATTCCATTACATACTCCAACCCAAACACACGCACGTACATATTAGGGCTGACAAAAAAGAAACAATCAAACATGATAACTCCGGCTGGCCATGACCCTCCCGCTGATGATCCCAAATCTTGACCTAGCGCCTTGCAGGGAAATGCTCATGCCCATGCTCATGTAAAAAACATAAAATCACTCCCAGCTCCAGTGCCGAAAATGCAATCATTAACCCAAGTATATCCCCCCTTTCGTGAGCCGCTCGTCCTAGCGTGAAACATGCAAAATGAAAAGCAATCAATGAAACATGTGGTGGTGGTGGTCTGGCGGGGGCAGACCCATGATGGTACCAAGGTAGAGATGCGCATGAGGGTAGCCGTTCATGCTGTTCGTGGGTGTTGAGATACCTGATGACGATGCTGTAGGCGGATGCGACTCTTCTAGACCTCTTCGGGCAGCGATTTCTGCTGCTTCCTTGACAATCTTGGGCTTGAGGAGATCCCATGAAGTGTTGTTGGGATCCTTGGGTATAGTCACAGCGCGTTTGTACGACGGACAGGCCTCGAGTTCCTTGATACCAATCGGTGGCGACAGTTGGGCGGCCTTTTCCTTGAAGTAGGCCTTGCGCCTAGATTTCTTTGAACTGTACTCGGCAGTCCTGGCAGTCCGCTGCATCTCTTCCCACTGCTCCATCTTCTTTGCAAAGGCTTGACGTTCTTCTATCCTCTGAGCTTTTGCAGCAAGCCATGCAGCAATCCACGCGGGAGCCTCGTTTGCGTCGGGAGCCCGTTCACGCACCTCGCGGTTGTACTCGGCAACGAGCTTGTCTACGTCTGATTTTAGATAAATCGTCTTGAGTGCATGTGTGCTTGCTGGGCCAACCCCGACAAAATTACCCCAAGAATCGTAGATTCCACTTGGAAGAGCAGCACGAATGAAGGAGATGTCTTCACCGTCTGGACCTTTGAGAAGAGCCATGGCTTCGTACTCCTTGATGACCTGGTTTGTTAGACAGTCCTTGCACATGCGGCGTAGAAAAGCCCAGAATGTTTTGCGAGTGTTCTAGACGACGGTCAGTCAAGCCAACAAATATGCCATGAGAAGTCTGTAGGCGGTGCGGGTGTTGTCACTTACGGGCGCACCGCAATCCATACAGCCATGGCCGTGGCGCAGATGGGCAAACTGGAACTCAGTCAGGCCTGGAGGAGGGTCCGGCATGTCGGTTCCGTAGTAGTAAACCCTGCTATGCTTCCAGAGCATGGGGTTGTCGCGCAGGAAGCGGTAACATGAAGCGATTTTGCTGCGCATCTCGAGCAACTGGGCGGGGTCCGAGTAGGAGAGTATGATGAACCAGCAGTCGAGGTCGACACCCTTGGACAGGACCTTGCCCCTCCGTAACCTGGTGGGCTTGCGTTGTTGCCACTGCTGGGTGAGGAGGGGGCGAGCGGTTGCGGTTGCGAGTGGAGCCATGGCATTGCTGGCATAGGAAGCGCTCGAGTGTGCTGCTTGGTCGTACTCTCTCTTGCCGTCCTCGCCCCGCTTGCGCTTCAGACTGCCTTCGACCTTTGCCAAGGGCACGTTGTGGGAGCGCACCTCTTGCGCAAAAGCGGCACGCTTGCCGGCGGGGGGGCGGCAATTGATTACTGTCGCATAGGCTTGGTCGGGCGTCTGCAGAAAGGGCGTCTGCTTGTTGACTGTAAAGGCGACATATTTGGCATTCACCATTTCGTGTCAGCAGGCCAGCCGCTCGGTGGGATGTGGGATCGAGGCGGGTGGCAGGCAGACAGTCTTCCGGGGGCAGGGTCGTCCTTTTTTCACGGCGTCGTGGCGGCAGTATGGAGGAGAGGAGGGTGGAGCGGTCAGCGGGCTGGGGAAGCAGGAAAGGAGCGTGGACGACGCTGAGACTTCGGCGTGCCCAGGCTCGAGTGAGGTCGGCTGCCGAACCAGTCTTGCCCGGTAGCAAGGTTGACCCTTCGCATACAAAACCTTGGCCTGCTCCTTACTAAGCTCGACCGTGCTATACATGAGCAGTGCGCGGCTGACATCACTCGAGTGGGCTCTTTGTCGGAAGCTGGCATCCACCGTCAGTGTGGACATGCAACATCCATACGTATACGAACATGTACGCACACATGTACGGACAGCCGCCACTCAATCTGGATGCCGCCTCGTGGGCTGACTGGAGGGGCATGCGACCAACACCAACACCAACACCAGGACCAGCACAAGCACACGACGATGAAGTGCGACCGCCGCGGAACACTGGCCCTTGAGCATTCAGCCAATTTTGTCGCAATTAGGCCGACGACGACGACGCCTCGCCGGCGATCACATGGCGGCATCGACCATGACTTACTTTGACGCGAGGCGCGCGCCGCTCGACCCTTAGTTTTTTTTTTCGAGCGCCGCCGTGGACGGGCCCGGCAAAAGTCGCCTGGGCTGGGCGTGGCGGTGGTGAAGGGGGAGGGGGCTCTGACAAGGGCTCTCTTTGGGCGGGCATGGGCTGGCAAGTGGATGCAACAAAGGTTACGCCATGCAGCGTCGCCTGTGCTATCCGCGACTTGGCGCTGGGGAAGGCACAAGCACAAGCAGCAGCGGCGGCGGCGATAAGATACGGCGACAGGCGCCCTGCCCCGAGAGGAGATGCGGGGTTAGCGGGCAGGGCGCACATCCACGCCGGGCTAGAGCGGATAGCTAGACGGAGCGACCTCGGCCTGCTCATCTGTCAACATAATTGCTTCTCCCACGCCGCCTCCCAAGTCCCATTGCAAGCGCCAACCCGGCTCCCGCTTCTACCACGGTACAGTCGCCTGCCATTCAGGCTCTGTCATATCAACCCGCCCGCTTGCCACACGGTCCGACATTGCCCAAACACCGCCATGTTTGGCAAGACTGAAAGTAAGTTCAGGGTTTCATGGCTACGGCGCCAAGTCGTCTCACTCCTCATCTACAAGGCTTGTCCCTCTGCAGATGAGTCGCCACCCTTTTTGATCGTTATTAGCCCGGCTCATGGCTCGTTTGGCTACTATGCATGTGCATCTGTTGGTGCTAGAGCCGCAGTCTGACCATTTGCAGAAGACCCGTCGTCCCCGGATCTGGACAAGCATGATGCCCTTCCTCGCTACGACAACAACCACGACGATGACTCTGAACATGTCACTTGTCCGCCCACCACCACCGACACCAAACTCATTGCCAAGATAGATCTCCATGTCATTCCATTTCTGTGCATCATGTACCTGCTGGCCTTTTTGGATCGAGTCAACATTGCCAACGCCAATGTCTTTGGCCTTAGCCAGGAACTTGACCTCAACAGAGACAACCGCTACAACACAGCCCTTGTCATCTTCTTCGTCCCGTACATCCTCTTCGAGATCCCGTCCAACATCCTGCTGAAAAAGATGAAGCCCCGCATCTGGCTGAGTATCTGCATGTTTGGCTTTGGACTTGTCACTATGCTGCAAGGCTTTGTTCAAAACTACGCGGGATTGCTGACTACCCGCTTTTTCCTCGGTGTTTTCGAGGCAGGAATGGTAAAGATAAATCTACAAAATCCATCTGGGACGTACACTGACTTTGAATCTACCAGTTCCCCGGCGCCTTCTATCTAATTGGAATGTGGTATAGAAGAAGTGAGGCTCAGAAGCGCTTCTCCTTCTTCTTCAGCTCTACTACCCTTGCTGGAGCCTTTGGAGGACTGCTCGCCAGTGCCATTGGCAAGATGGATCACATACGAGGTTATCGCGGATGGCGCTGGATATTTATTCTCGAGGGACTGTTAACCGTCGTGGTCTCGTTTGCATTCTTCTTTTTGCTACCTAATTTTCCCGAAGAAGTCAAGTGGTTGACGGAGCCTGAGCGCGCCTATGTCAAGCACCGCCTCCAAGTCGACCAAGGCCGCTCCGCCCGCGAGCGCCCCATCAAAGCGCGAGATGTCGCAAATGTCTTCAAAGACCCCAAGATTTTTATCGGTGGCTTGATGTATTTTGGCTTGATCGTACCCGCATATGGCTATGCATACTTTTCGCCCGCCATCATCCAAGGCTACGGCTACTCGCCCATCCAGACCCAGCTCCACAGTGTGCCTCCTTGGGCTGCTGCCTTTGGCTTTGCCATGCTTGTTGCGTATTTCTCCGATCGCCTCAGACATCGCTTCCTCTTTGCCATTTTCCCCATTTGCGTCTGCATCACCGGCTTCGCTATCCTCATTTCCGTGCACAACAACCACGACTTGCAGTATGCAGCTCTCTTCCTGGTCGCCATGGGAGCTTATACAGCCATGCCTGTTATTGTTTGTTGGTTCAATATGAATCTGGGTGGGCATCACAGGAGAGCTGTGGGCAGTGCGTGGCAGGTTGGTTTCGGTAAGTTTTGTCTTTTTCTTCTTCGTTTGATCCTTGTTTGCGCAAAACAAATCTGACATTACATACAGGCAACATCGGCGGAATCATTGCTACCTTTTCTTTTCTCAAAAAGGATGCACCAAAGTACACAAAAGGCTACTCTATCAGTATTGCTTTTGTAGTCTTGAGCGCGCTTAGCTGCACTGCGTACTTTGTCATGTGCAACTGGGCGAACCGGAGACGCAATAAGAGTGTGAGAGATGTGGGATTGACCGAATACGAAAAGACGGAAATGGGTGATTTGAACCCAGATTATCGATATCTACTTTAAATAGAGAGTCGAGCTGCTTGGATGAGGAATGAAAAAAGAACCAAGGTGAAAAATCTAAAAGGGAACAAAATTTGTAATCTAGCATGGAGGATATTTACATCTAGACTGACGGCCGATATGAAATGTAATCCTAGATAGGTATTCATAATGTATGTATCATTACCGAATTAATTCAAGTACCTTAACATATCATTTCACCTCTATTGGTTACACAAGTATATTATTTCATCACCAAGTCCGTAGGACAATTCCGTATCGACTACAGCTACGGAACTCCGACCCTGGCGTTTGGACAACCTCGGGGTTCTACAGTACCCGATATCCTGTGCTCCGCTCTATCTAATCCATGATTTGACGACTCACGGCGTTGAATGCGATAAATCGCCGTGCGGAGATGTTGCTTAATTCGTATTAGCAGACCGATGTATGTAAAAAAAAGAGAAGTACCATATATTCCCCCATATTTTCAGGTCACACTCTGCGCAGTGGTAATGCTATCCGAATCCACCCCCTCTTCACTTCCATGTCCCCAAATCTCCTTACTCTCACTCTCAACTCCTCTCATCGCCTTGGCCACCTCCTCCAACCTAACAACCACCTCTTGAACTCCCTTGTTCACCTTTTCAAAATACCGATCATTTTCCTCCCTCCTCTTCCGGCTAAGCTCGATGTCCTTCTCTGTCTCCTCTTCTAGCTTAATCCGATCAAACAATTTATCCCCCTTGCCCGTACCAACCCCACTCACCATACTCTGCGCCTGTACATCCGTAGCCTTTGTATCTTGCGACTTCTTCTTCTGCTGCTCGGGCGCCTGCTCGTCCTCTTCTGAGCGGGCCCACGCTCTCGCGAGCTCGATCTGGGCGCGGCGCAGCTCGTCGAGGGCGCGCGAGTGCTCGGAGCCGAAGACGGTCATGCCGGGGCCTTTGATGGCGCTGAGTTCGACTTCCTCGAGCGTGTTTTGCATCTCGGCCCATATTGCTTCGGCGCGCGACGAGGCTTCTGCGTCGGCTGCTTGGCTTTGTTGGCGCTGGCGCCGTTGGAAGGGCGCTGAGGCGTTTGTCGATACGGGGCTGAGGTAGTCGCCATCGCTGGTGGTGTTTGGGGGGAGAGGGCGCTTGGGGTCTGGCGAGAGCAGGGAGCGTTGGCGGACTAGAGGTGTTTTTGCTGGTGCTCGGGTCTCATGTAGTGATGTGTTGGAGGCATTGTGCGATGGTGGGCCAACGAAGAGAGCGGGCGCTGGCAGACGGTTTGTCTGTGTCTTGAAGATCTTCTTGTCATCCTTGGAAGACATGTTGGAGCATGCAGCGTGGATATTCACAGGAGCAAGATGTTGAAGACGAACGGTGATTGTAGCTTCACGCGACTAGGTATAGAAGCTAGAAAGGGCGCTGAGTGTCCGAATGTGAACACCAATTTCTCTTTTGTATTTTGTCGAAAGCTAGAAGCTAGTCAGACTCTAGAGCTATGCGCTTCGACAGAGAAGATGGCGTTCGGTGTTCCTGAAGTCCTCGGCCCAGCTCAATGACGATGGCCCGATAAGATAGCAAATACCCCTGCAGCCGCGCTAGCCACGACAGAAGCGACGCCAAGGCCCGTGCGCACACACGCTGGGTGAGATTTCTCCTTCCCGTTACTCTTCGACGTTCGCGATACTAACCATCCACTCACCAGCACATCACTCGTCAACACCGCAATCATGGGTAAAGGTATGCTTCCATCTCACCCAGGCCTCTCCAATCCGTCCAGATACCATTTTCCCCCTCCTCTCGCATTGCACGACACCATTGTGTACTTTGCAGCTGCTTACTCCATCCTCCAGGAAAGCCAAGAGGTCTCAACGCCGCCCGCAAGCTCCGCAACCATCGTCGTGAGGGACGATGGGCCGACCTCCACTACAAGAAGCGTCTCCTCGGAACCGCTTTCAAGTCTTCTCCCTTTGGTGGTTCTTCCCACGCCAAGGGTATCGTCCTTGAGAAGGTCGGTGTTGAGGCCAAGCAGCCCAACTCCGCTATCCGAAAGTGTGTCAGGGTTCAGTTGATCAAGAACGGAAAGAAGGTCACCGCTTTCGGTACGTTACACTATTCCAGGAATTGAGTGCAGCTACAGCAAAGCACCTGTGGCAAGCATGCATCCGGAAGACCCGGCTAACCCGGAAACAGTTCCCAACGATGGTTGCTTGAACTTCGTGGACGAGAACGACGAAGTTCTCCTTGCCGGTTTCGGTCGCAAGGGCAAGGCCAAGGGTGATATTCCCGGTGTGCGTTTCAAGGTCGTCAAGGTTTCTGGTGTCGGTCTCTCGGCACTCTGGAAGGAGAAGAAGGAGAAGCCCAGGTCATAGAGTACTGGCCAACAAGGAGTCAAGGAAGGAAATGAACGTGGACTACCAGCACGCCATGAACGAATGATGGAATCCGCGGATGGCCGCGGATGTTTACCGGAGTCTTTACATTGGGGATATCTGTGCTTCAACTCGGCATATGAAAGTCATGATATGCTGGAGGGTTAGATAGCAAATCTAACTCGTTCAAGCGCCCACTCGTTTGTGTGCCGCTACTGGAGTAATGCGTACTGCTTCACAATGCCTTGGTGGGGTAACGGGTGAATGGCTATTACCCGAGCGATTTATCCATGCATGTCGTGTGCAAACATGGAAGGTTAGCCGCGTACTGAATCAAGGCCCGATTCGCCATGCATACTTTACACATCTGATTCGTGGTCCTTGTAACTCCTAAACATGAGTATCACAACTTACATACAGATCCCGTCTGCGACTTTGATAACTCGGGCCAATGGAACATAAGGGAAAAAAGTGCCACTAGCTGCCGGGTATCTCAAACAAAACGCCAATCAATGCGTCCCGCCATCCCAAAGAGAGAGCAAAGAAAAGAAAAGAAAAGAAAAGAAAAACAAGAGGAAAATAGGCGTTCGCCAGTACCGAACCAAAAAAAAGTATCAATGATGCAAGCCAAGTCTCTCTCTTTCTCTGTGTATCTCTCTGTGTATCTCTCTTTCTCTCTACTTGGAGAACATGGCATTGAACGTATCCTCCAGTCCCGTATCTTTCATTGTACCATAGTAATCATACTTGAGTTTGGGGCTAGCAAACAGTTCTGCATCCCTCTTGACATTCTTGGGTACGCCCAGACCCTCTAGGCCTTGTGATTTGCTAGTCCCATCCGCGCCCCTTGTCTTCTTCTCTTCTTTGAAGAAGTTGGGCATGCTTTCTTTGAGTGGCGGTGCCCATACTCCGCGTTTCCATGGGTCGGGTTTTTGATTGGCGGCGAGCGAGGTGGGTGGTGCGGCGGGGACGCGGTGGCGGAAGGGATTTGGGTCTTTGCGGGCGAAGATGGAGTGCGGTTCTCTAGGTTTGGCCGAGGGCGAGGCTTGTTGCTGAGCAAAAGCTGGGCGCTTGGAGAATTGGTTGGATATGATTTCGGGGGGTTGAGCGGAGAAGCGACCTTTGGTTGGGGTCCAGTCCATGTCGTCGACGTCTAGGAAAGAGTTGCGTTGGGCAAAGGGAGTTGTGGCTTCTGTCGTAGCATGTGTGGTATAGGATGATTCAGTGAGGGTGGGTGATGGAGGGGCGGGAGAAGATTCTTGATAGCCTTGGATTCCAGATGCAAACGAATGTGCCATGCTATCGAAGAGGTCCGCTTGCGGGTGTGCAGGATGGTAGGAGCCCCTCCTTTCTTTCTTTGCGCTGCTGGGTTCGCTGAGGACGGGCTCTTGGGCTGCCTTGGGGAATGAGGGTGCGGCACCGTAGACTATGCGGACAGTCTTCCAGGTCAGGACGAAAGAGAGCGCGAGTACACTGGCCATAACTGTGTGAGTGTATCGGAAGCTCTGTAGTGTATCGCTGTCGACTGCGGTGTGCTGCCAGTAGTAGAGACTCGCAAAGCGGGATATGATGACGGCAGAGCGAATTGACCACAGTGACTTGAGTCCATGCATTCTGCCCGTGAGACTGTTCGTTTTGAGCTTCAACTTGGGGTTCCACCAGATGGTGAGCAGGTCGGCAAGGATAGCGTATTGCAACCATTTGACTATATACGGCGAAAGTACACAGATGTCGTCAACGGATCGCGAGCGAAACGCTTGGTGCAGACATGCGCTCCAAGCGAAGATCTGGTCTTCCCGAATAGTCTCATTGGGGACCATGAGTAACCCAGCGACATGCCAGAGCAGTCCCACCACTGTACTCAAGATGTAAGTCCACTCGGCTAGCGAAATAGCCCTGAGCGTCCATGCTTGTCGCGCCGTGTACACAACCGTGCGCTTTTCTTTGCTCGCTTCCATTATGCGCGCCAAATTGTCTGCTCTCGCTACATGGTTCGCATTTCGTATCTGGTTTTGGACCCGGGGCAAGCAGTTCTTACACACCTGTGGGTAGCGCTCCTCAAGCTCGATCTTGTAGTTATCGTAGGCTGCGAGGTATTGCTCATACTGTGGATCGTCTTCTTCCGGGATAAATTCGGCGAGCAGACTGGTGTATAACGTTTGGTTGTGTTGACACGCGTCGCAGAAGATGCTGTCGGGGGGAGCGGACATAAAGGGTGAGGGTGAGCGCGAGGGTATGTACTGAAGCACAGGCGCGGGGATAGCTGCAATCTCCTCTATTGGTGGATCCGTGATATTTCCGCGCTGGTAGAAAGTCAGTTGAGAAGAAGTCGCATATTTATGTCTTCAGCCATGTACCTCATCAAAGTGATTCACGGCGTCGCATTGCGGACAGCGGTATTTTTTGGGTATCTGGGAGACGCTTTCTCGCGACTGAACATTGCAGTAATGACAGCGCAGTCTGCGCCGTAGGAGCGGCATGTTGGCGACAAGGTCTGGAGGTTGATGGGATGGTTGATGTGGGTGGACGATGTCATCGGCCAGCTGGTTCAGGGTGGCAGAATGGCGACGCTGACACACCGCCCGGGACCGACGCGGAAATTTGGATCGCAGTATCGAAGGCACTGGTCACCACCAAGAGGGACGACTTCCCGCCAGCCCATCGCCGCAAGGACCAAGCCATTGAAGCGAGGCGCTTGCAGTGAACCCGAAAAAGTCGATTGACCCGGAAAATCCACTGCTAGCACCCGTCCACGCCCACTGCTCCATGGCTCGGTAGTCCGCAAACCCTCCCACATCCACGTCCATCGCCGCTATTCTACCCACCATGAGCCAATTAGTCGTCCGGCCAGGACGCAATGCCGCCCGCCAGGCCAAGAAACTCAAGGAAATCCGCAAAACGAAGAACGCAATCCAATGGCACGAGCGAGAGCGAAAGAAGCGACAAGAACTCATGCAGGAGCGATGGGAGTCCAAGCAAGCCGTCCTGCAGCGCATCATGTGGGAGAATGCAAATGTCAAGGGCGTCAAGAAACGTGCTCTAGCCAATGCCAAAGAAGATTGGAGGTTGGGTCCTTTGAGGCCAAACCGTGCCATCGGCCCAAATGCAGACAAGTACGGTGCTCTCACATCGTCTCAGATGCAGAAACCAGAAATCTCCGCCAAGACACAAAAGAACCGCAATGCTGTAAGAGAGAGGAAGGGAATGGAACTTGAGTATCCTCTGGTTGTTGATGACAAGAAATACTTTCCTATTGTCAAAAATGACCGTGTCGTTATTCTCAAGGGTAAAGATGCTGGCAAGATTGGTACTGTGCAAGATATCATCCCCCGGACTCACGAAGTTATTGTAAAGGACTTGAACATGGTTCGTATTCTTCCCTTGGGCCACGAACTCAGTCTGATACCTCTTAGCAATATTACGACTCCACTGTCTTCAGTGCTGCCAATGAGGACATGGGTCCGAAGCATCCAAACGAGGTGCCACTTCCTCTAGACCACGTTCGCCTTGTGATACCCTCTGAGATCAATCAAGGAGGTGTAAAGCGTTACAAGGACGTTATCGTAGAAAAGATCTTCATGGAGCGACACACAACCGGCATCGACCCCTACACCGGGACTGACTACGGCAGCTCAGAAATCCCAAAGGAACACCAGTACGACCCTCGCAACGGCCTGCCCATCTTCCATCGCTACATTTCAGGTACAAACCACCGGATCGAATGGCCATGGGAACGCGAGGAATGGACTGAAGATGTCGACGTCACGAATGAACAAAGCACAGGTAACCGCTCATGGCTGCGGAAGACCATGTCCACCATCGCTCAACCTTTCTCCGGCTTGGACCGCTGGCGAAGCAGCAACAAGCAGAGCAGAGAGCAGCAAGACCCGAGCGTGCTGAAGACAGACGATATTGAAGAAAACTTCACAAAGATCGAAAAGGAGCAACAAGACAGGTTCAAGACACAACCTCCAAGAAGCAAGGATCTCGAACTGCCAGAGGCATACGATGACGTAGACACAACGCGCAACATTGTTGAGAGATCAGAGTCCATGTCTTACATTCTCGTCTCCCCACCTTTCCCCGACACTCTCGGCGAAGAACTCCGCGGCGACATCCATGATCTCTCCATCAAGGCAAAGAAGGAACAGGATCCCCAGGCGCCGCGTGTCAAGATCACCAGGCACTCTGAACAGGCCGCACTCGCACGAGAGACTGCAAAGCAACAGAAGCAAGCTGCTGAAGCAATGAAGACGCCCATGCAATTGCGATGGGAGCTGGAGCAAAGGAAGAAAGCAGAGGCACTGAAGAAGCAGCCTCTTGTGGACCAGGAAACCCTGCTAGCCGCACTGGGCCAGCACATGCAGAAGAAAGCCGCAAAGCCATACCTAGGCAAGAAGCAGATTGCTTCTCAAAACCAGGACCTGGACTAAGGTTTTCTCCTTCAAGTGCACGGTTTGCAATTGTAGTCTCCAGGCAAAAGGAGAAGAGAAGATTTGTAACATAGAAAACTTCTGTACACATAGCCGCGAAAACTGAAAGCAGCAAATCTCAATCCAGGCCCTCTTTTGCATAGTACACATCGTCATCATAGTTTTTTTGAGGGGGGGTATCTTTCGCTGTGAAATGCACATCAAACGCCATCATCTCCCATGCATACCATCGTCGTTCCTGTAAATCTCCTGTCATATGCATACTTTCCTTGCATTCGTTATCACACCAGGACGCCCCAGTACTCTGCCCTCCTACCCGCACCTTCCAGCTCCTCCCACTGCACGAGGAACCGATCCACGACGTGAAGCAAGATCTTGCCGCTTAAACTGAGCGTCTTGACTCGTGCGAAACTCTCGATATACACGGTTTTGCACTTGCGCCTGCTTTCCGCGCCCTTGATGTTAAAGAAACGTATTATGAGGCTTGCGAGGATAACGATGACGGCTGTAGCTGGGCCGTTGGTGATGATCAGATCGGGGACATCGGCTGCGGCCGCTTCGTAGGGGGTTGTGGGTGCTTGGCCTGCGAGAAGCGGGGGTGCGCCGAGGAGCGGTGTGAAGCATGCGAATAGGGTGTATAGAGCGGAAAACGGGGTTGTAAGCAGTGACTGGTGGATCTTCCTTGCACGCGGTACGATGGCTATGTTGTAATGCTGGGGTCCTGTACATGCTGGGCTGTCATCTCCTCTTGTTGTATCCAGCACACGTGTCTGACCATTTGTATCCGTGACTTGCATCGTTGGTCTTGTTGCTTTGCCGTCACTCTCGTCTGCGTCTTGGCCATTTACCATCTTCTCTTGCGCCTTCTCTCTCTTTGTCGCTGCATCTTGCAAATCCTGCTCAAACTGCGCGGCGCGTTGTGCGGAGAAGGCATCACCGCTGCTGACTACATATGTTCTGTGTGTGTACTTTTTTGTGTCGAGGTCGCGGAGTAGGCATAGCATCTCGTGGGTGTGGCCCCCCGATCCGAGCACGATCAGCACGCGTGTTGCAAGTGGGCGCTTGCGCCGGAGTGGTCGCGTTTTTGTGCGTGCATTGGGTAGGATAGCGAGGAGGCGTAGAGTAAATGCGACTAGAAGGGTGGCGAGGGTTGCTATGAAGAACGAGAGAGTGTAAAGGGTAGATGGTGGGGGAGCCATTCTGGGAATTGCTATTGTGACGGATCGGATTGCCCGCGGTGGCCGTTGAGGCAATTATATTTGCAGAAGCTTGCACTGATTGCTCTTGAGGGCAGCTAGACGACTTGTGGTTTGCGAGACATCGTGGAGCATTGCTGTTAGCTTGGATTTGGCGTGCTGTTCATGCAGGTGAGAGGTGAAGTAGTCGTGGCCATTGGCCAATGGCTGGTCACGAACGGTATGCACATTCCGAACACGAGGTCACATGATGGCGTTTGGTAGTCAAGCATCCCCATGAACACCGACCCAAGGCATACAGTTCTGTGCATATAGTTCGCTTTCTCACGGCACGAAAAGCAATCTTCGTGTTTGTAAATCCCCAACATCTATCTCTTATGTAGTGAAAACTTGGTGTTGTGCACAAAAAGGACTACAAAGTGATCAAGTTTCATGTAATGATTCGAACCATTGGATATAATTTAATAAATCGCGTAGAGAATATATATACATGTACTGAATATGAAAATGAAGCATGAAGAATTGATAGAAGCCAGGTCTGCACCCTTGCCTTCCTCACGGAACACTTGCGCTGGCAACGACATCTTCCCAAACAGGCCAATACGCGTCTTCCCCTGGCTCATCCATCTGCCATATCAAGCTTGGGTTTCTTCTCATCACACCTTCGTTTTCTCTCTTCAAGCCGGCTAAGCGCTCACTCAATATTCTCATCTGGCCCACAACGCATCTTAACTCTCTGCCCCTTACTGTCGAAGGAGAGATCTCGCCTTTTAGGTCGGATAGCGGCCCCACAAGCCGTGTGAGTGTAGGCGGTAAGCTATATCGGAATGATGCTTCAACCCACGATGTGATGGCGAGGCGTGAACACAGGAAGGCGCTGAGAGCAGGAAGATAAGCGAGTGTATCTGTCGTGGAGGTGGCGGTAGAGTGGTGAGAAGATAAGGTTAGGGCGCGACTTAGGTGTATAGGCCAACAGAGCGCCGCATAGCGTAAAAAGGGGAGATGGGTATCGAAGGGTATGGTGCGAATACTGTTTGGTCTTGAGCTGCTGTTGCGTGGGTTGAGTGCAATTGGTGCTACAGCATGGTTGTTGTCACCGTCAGATGAGGATAACGACTTGTAGCCGCTATCTCCAGATGAGTTTGTTCGTTGGCTCGCGCCGCTACTGGCTGAAGCGGCTGGAGGTGTGGGTGGGTTGTGAGGGTGTAGTACGCCGAGTGGCTGCTTCGGTACGCTGTAGACAAGATAAGAAAGACAATCGGCTGCAAGGCGTCCGTGTACACCACTCTCGTTAGACAGACTGAACTCCGATGTATGAGAAGCAGAGGATTGGAGGAAGTCGCGCACGGATGCGTGGGCGAAAGAAACAGCATCGTTTGTGACTAGAAGAAGACCGCAGCTGAGCTCTTCCAACGCGTTGACGATATTCATCGTATGTGATGTCTCATTCTCGTCTGTACTCTGTATAGACAGAGCGGCTTGTAGCGCAGCTGAATCCAGGTGATGAATTCCATGAGACAACCAGCGGAAAGTACTAGCGATGACTCGCTTCTTCTGGGGCGAGTGACGCGCCAGCGCATCAATCATAGTGTGGTAGAGTGAGCCCAGCCCCTTCAACGACTGAACATTAAATAGAAGACCTAATCGTTCTTCTGGTGAAATTAGTGGTGACTGAAGCAACTTCAGAAGCATAGAGGCCCATAAAAACTCTCCATTTGCTGCTTGTGCGAATTGGGGAATCAGCGTTCGGTCCATGGATATGCCAAAAAATCCTTGGTCTGCCAGGCGGTTTAGCTCCGGTGTGAGGTAATTCTCAATGGACATGGCGTTATGTGAGCTTTTGAGAGAGAAAACGTGAGGGGCATCAGATGCCCACTTCTGGTATTCTAACGGTATCTTCAAGTCCGGTCTGCTGAACAAGATGACTCTCGCATCGGAACCTCTGCATAATCTTGCCAACAATCCCAAAAAGACTTCAGTGTTGCTGCATTCATCGATACCGTCAATCGCGATGTAGGTAGGATGTTGTCGCAAAAGTAGAGTCAGGACGTCTAATACCTCGTCTGTATTTGCATGTTCTCGAAACGAAGTTTTGCGTAGCAGCAGGCATACAGCATCGAGAGTAGAATGATCATTGCGATGCAACTGAAGCAGCTGGTTTGACAAGGATCGCAATGCATCGTCTGGATGATTATGCTTGGAATGTATGAGGCTGAAACGGTAGTGCGCGATTACAGGAGGCTCATCACAAATGTTAGGATCTTCAGCCTCAGCAGTAAGGTTCTCGATTACTGAATGGGATATGAAGGTTTTACCAAAACCAATCTGTGCTACATGATGTTAGTACTCGGCTCATGGGGAATGTAAGATTCTCAACGTACCTTGAACGAATAGCACCCGATGTTGCCAACTGTTCAACAAATAATCTGCATCGTTGGCTACTGCTTTTTCAAATGGTTGATCTCGCCATTTACAGTAGATTGAACTTTGCAAGAACCATGCACATGAGTCTGGGCTGTACTGTCTGGGTCGGCGATCGACTTGACTTGTGGTGGGCGAATTACAAAGCCAGTTTCGCGCTTTTTCCACCCTCCTCCATCGTTTGACAGCTCTTTGCCCTTCATGATCCAAATAGTCGCTGCCTCTAATTTGATCTTGATTTTGCAGAAAGTCAAGATAGTGCTTGCGATGATGTGCGATATCGGAATAGTTTTGAATGTCGTTTTGCGTCTCCTTCTCCAGCCATCTTCTGTGTTTGGCCAATCGGACTTCCATACGCGAAATGCGTGAGTCAAGCGGCCTCCATGACACTGTGTGAGCTGTATCAGGGGTTAGTTAGTCCAATGCACAATCGATTTACTGATACAGCCTTGAGGCGTGAATCTTGCAACGTACCTTGACTCCCTCGGCAGAAAACGTAGTAAAGTTCCAAGAACAGTTGCACAAAGTCGGCATAAACATAAGACATGAGTGCTGCTAAATGAAAGTCTTCGTCTTTGACATTGGAGTCCGGGGTGTTTGCACTGTAAGTCTCATATATTTGCTGATACGGAGGCAAGACATGCGCAATGGCTTCCAACATATCGGCGACCTTTTCAAGAAGAAGGATATAGGCACTGCTCATCTGCTTTTGCTTCAGCATAGTTTGCATCCAGCTGCGGTTGCATATTACCTTGATGACTAGTTGGAGCGCACCCCAGAACCAGCTAATCCATTCTGGTTGGAGCTTTATGCATGTGCTCAGAAGGTCGAAGTATGGCGCAAGAGTACGAATGAACAATGTAAGTTTCCGGCTACACACAACCACTCTCTGGTCTACAGAGCCGTTGTTGACTGATACTCGACGGAGCTCGTTCAACAAGAGCGATGCGTTTGCATCATTTTGGAAATGAAGTTGGTGTTCTTGCAGTACGGCGCTTTGTATGGCTGCCACTGCTTCATCAAACAACGGTGCGATTAGGCTATGATTTGGTTAGATTTTTTTTCAATTATTAATGATGATTGCGAGGGACTCACACAGAGTCGGCCATTGTTATGGCAGCGGGTCCTGGTTGCTGTGTGAGTTTTTGGATATTTTCCAATCAAAGCGCGGCCTCTTTCTCAAGAGCGGATGCATTGGCACAGATCAAAATACACTTTTTGCGGTGAAGGGGGGTGGCATTGTGGAGGCATGGTGGCGAAGAGGGCAGCGGCAAACAGATATAACAAGGCTTGGATTGCCATATGAACGGGCCTAAAAGCAGAGCAAATTACTGCGCTGTATGGAGCCACGGGAGAAGCAACGGGTGTCGTGGGGCTGAAAATGGTGCAAGAAGATAAGCGGAATGCGTAAGAGTATGGCGAGCGGAACGCTGCAGGCGCAATTGTCAAGTCTTGGACACCACATAATTAGTAGGCGTGGGGGACCGTGCTCAACAACGTGGGCGAGACGACAGGCCCATGCGACGGCTTGCACACGGCATGCCGGGACTCTTAACCGATGTGCGGGGACTCGGGCTTCACAGATGAGTAACAGCAATTCCCAAGCAACGCGTTATTCGACATCAGACAAGCGAGACAGCATGAACGGATAATCATCATGGGTATCACCTCAACAAGCTACATAGCCAACTGCTCGGCCTAGTCAACGGATCTATGGTACAAAGAGTATTAGAAGGCGGGATACTGTGAATGCCACCAAAATTGTGGCTACCTGATTACACGGATGCAGGCATGCCCAGCCGGAGCGCAAGCAGCGCTCGCACGTCGGTGACATATTGCAAGCCTTCGAGCAGTGGGATGAGATGCAGCAGGTCGTGATCTGTTGGGTCGCTGATCCAGCCTTCGATGGGAATGGCATTATCTAGTTTCGTCGTTAGTCACGGTACAACCTTGCAGACGCCCGAGCTGGGGGGACCTCTTACCTGGGTGGAAGACGTAGCTCAGGGGGCTGTTGTCAAGTATCATAACCTTGCTCAGATCTGGCTCGACCTGGGCAAGATCCTTGATGTAAGCCCCGTTGCGAACAGTGCAGTGCTGTCGGTAATATCGTCCTGCAAAGTACTTGCGCTCCACCTCCAGCCAATCAATGACGGGATCAGCATACTCTTGAACGGATGCGGTAAATATGATCAGGTTGTACCATTTGCTGACCTAGTTTACATGTTAGCTACGCCCTGGCAAGGCCAGGCAAAACTCCTTACCTTTTTCAAGAAGTCGTCGCAGTACGGCCGCTTGTGGACGTAGTACAAGAGCGGCACCTGGGGACCAATAACCTGTCCATCCGCGCCGATAGATGCCTGCAGTTTTACTTCTACCATGTGACCAGTCTGAAAGCGGCCGCCATTGACTATACTGTGAATCAAAGTTTCATCAAGATCAATGATGAGTGTTTTTTGGTGTGGACCGACGGCCGACGTGCCTTTGGCCGAGTAGGATGGCTGACGCCGTGGCACCAAGGGGCGCGGGGGCTGAGGCGCTCTTGGGAATTTGGTCAATTGTTTGGACGATGCGGTTGCCGGGCCGGTGGGCGATTTGAGCGAAGCAGCGGCCTCGGACGAAATGGAGTTGCTTTTGGAAGACTGTGCCTTTTTTGCTGCCTTTCGTTGTCTCAACACGTCCTCGTTGTGGTGCAGTGTAATGCGGATCGACCGTTTTGCGGGAGCGATTTCGTCTGCGCGCGATAAGGCACTTGACTTGGAGCGCGTGTGTTGCGAGGGGCTATCCCAGTCTCCGCCGCGCGAGGCAGGTCTTTCGGTCTCCGAGTCGGATGTCATGGCGGTGGACGTGGATGCGATAGATAGGGAGCGCCGCGAGGGTTGCATGGTCATGGGCTGGGCAATGCTCGAGCTGCGACCTTTGCGCATGGCCTTCTCGTTGCTGTCGGTAGCGGCCGAGGCTCGCGCTGCGTGTGCGCCTACTTTCTTCCGGCGTCGGCGTGTAAAGGTGCGCGAAACGTGATACACAGGGGCTAAAAAGGAAAAGTGGCCGTCCTCGTAGTAGAAGCAGGCAATCAAGTACTGGCCGGTATAGACAAAGGGGGTCGCCAGCACGCCCACGATGGCAGTGAGGCCATCGGATAACAGCTGCGGGTACAGCCACCGTCTTCGCCGCGTCGTGTCGTCGTAAGGTCCCTTCTGGGATTGTTGGAGGAGCGGTGATTTCTCGTTGGATCCGGATGCGACGGCTTCCGTCGTCGAGGAACCGGAGCCGTTGCTCCTGTCGGCGCCCATCTTGCGCGTCTCGCTCTATGCAGCTACTGCACTCGCATCGTCAGACCGAGTCGAAGGAGAGGGCTGGGGTGCGCGAATGGCGAGGATTGTGGGGTAGCGTGATGGCCGGGGGGCTGTTGCTCCTGCTGCTGCTTGCTGCCTATGTCTTTGTTCGCAGACGGGAGTGGCGCTGAGATGGACGAGCAGTGGGAAGACCATACAAAGCCTGCTGGGCCGGCGAGGGAATCTCTATGCTGACGCTATGAAGTCTAGAAATAAGGCCGAGGCGAGGATGGAGAGGCTACAGACGGTTATGTATGTAAGCAGGAAAGGTTGGGGATGATGCCAATGACGACCGAACAGCTGGAGAAGGGCCGTGGCCAATCGGAACACGCATAGCTCAATTTGGCGACGACTCATAACTTGGGTTCACGCAGTCTTGAACAAGCAATATTCCGCTACTGTGCCCCTTACGCGACACAAGCGTCTGCAGTGTCTAGATCGCCTGAGTCTTCTGCTTCTAGACATCTTTTTGCATTTCCCAAGGAAAAAGAACTGCACCAACAACTGAACAGTCATCCAAGAGACACCCCCACCACCCCCACATACGCGCGCTATACACTTCGAAATCTTGAACAACACCACCTTTTCAGTGTGCGGGAATTGCCAGGATGCAGGGCGCTACCATTCAGGCACCAGGCCTATCCACATTCCTCAAGTCGCTCAAGAGCACGCCGGTAGATGCCTCGGTTGAGCACTTTACTTCGTTCGTTTCTTCATGGCATAGTGCGAAACTACAGCTGACCGGTCTACGATAGACTCCTCAAGCGCCGCCAGATTCGAAACTCAAGACCTTGCGCCATTGCGACGACAGCCTTGCTACTGCGCGTAGTGGGCGAGTTCAAGGGAAGAGACGCTGCTAAACTCATCGAGCGCATCAAGCAAGTCGGCCGGCGACTGACGTCAGCCCAACCAAGAGAAGTTGTAGTAGGAAACATCGTGCGGCGTGTACTTGGGCTGGTACGTGAAGTCGTCGACGAGCATGCGGATGGACAAACACCTACGGGGAGCGACCGAGGCAATGCGACACCACACGCCCACGCCTCGCACGATTCGCTTCACAGGCCAGCACTTCAGTCGAGCATATCCACCTTTAGCCCTCTCAGACATGCCGTAGCAGAGCCCATGCCCGCAGGCGGCTTCACAGACAACGCTTCCGATGCCAGCGAACCCTCAAGACGGCCCCCGCTGCTCACCTCGCACACTTCGTACGCACCGGCATCAGCTGCACCTCTAGTACACTCGCTCTTCGGCCTCTTCTCCCAACCAGCAGACACACCTTCAGCTACTAGCACACCGACAGGGCAAGCATCTCCCACTGGTAGGAGCAACCTGACTGCGCTCAATCTCGAGCGACTTGCAGGCATGGAGCGAAGTCAGAATCTTGATCTCAAGGGTGAGGTCATGGAGGGCATACGAGAGTTGCAAGACGAGCTGGAAACATCAGACAAGCAAATTGCCGAAGTTGCCCTCGAGCACATCCACGCCAACGAGATCATTCTCACTCACACTGCCTCCACAACCGTTCAAAAGTTTCTCTTGTTCGCCGCACGAAAACGAAAGTTTACCGTTGTACACGCCGAGACGTATCCTGACGACCACACTGCTACACATGGAATCCTGCTTACTGGCAAGAAGCGCGAGGCCAACCCAGGCGATGATGAGGACGATGACAAGTGGAAGCCACTCACTGACGCCGGCATCCAAGTCTACGTCATCCCAGATTCGCACGTATTTGCAATTATGTCGCGTGTCAACAAGGTCATTCTAGCTACACACACAGTTCTGGCCAACGGTGGTCTTGTTGCAGCCGCTGGAGCACATATGATTGCAAAGGCAGCCAAGGAGCATCAAACACCAGTGGTAGTGCTTAGCGGTGTTTACAAGCTCAGCCCTGTTTACCCTTTCGACATTGACGAGCTCATCGAGTATGGCGATGCTGGCAGTGTAGTGCCTTTCGATGACGGCGAGTTTGTAGACAAGGTTGATGTTGAGAATCCGCTCTACGACTACGTCCCTGCGGATCTTGTGGATCTCTACATTACCAACCTGTAAGCTGCCCCCTGCATTTATTTGATTGGATCAATAGCTGATTATTACAGTGGCGGACACGCACCTTCATATCTCTACCGCATTGTCGCAGACCACTACCGCTCTGAGGACATCACTTTGTAGTTTACAAAAAGTGATGGCTGACGCTATCACACCGCTGATGAGAAGGCAAAAGTCTCTCATCAGCCACGGCGCAATTGTTGAAAAGTAACTAGTACCAACAGCCGTTGCCACAGGCATGCCCCAGCGTCCCACGAGTTATATCCTATTCCATTTCCCAAGGAAACCAATCAAGACACGCAGTTGATGCACCCAACACTGTGCCCCCATGCCTATTCGTGTACTCCAATGTCCTACCTATGTGTGCGCCCCGAAATAGAATAACATAGTCTACACACCCGTCCTGCAACATACCCGATTGGCCCGCCCTCCTTCGTGCCCTTTTTTTCCTCCTTGCATTACAATACGCCCGCCGGCCATGGCCAACCGCCCACCCAATTGGTCACGGCAGGCCCCATCAGCGCGTGCCCTTCGGCCCTGAGCAATCCACACCCTGACACAGAACTTGCCTGTTCCGGCAATTCTCGCACAAATGGGGGGGGGTGGGTTCGGCACGGCAAAGGCAAAATCAAGGAGACGCCTTGGGATTGGGGGGGTGCCGCTGGCGCAAGCCGCAAAGACTTGTGGCGCTGCCGCCTCTTGTTGCTTTCTTTGCTTTTTGGTTAGGCCTTTTCTTTCGTGGGTGGGCGACGGCGAGGGGCTCGTGCGGTGGGCGGGCGGTCGGTTTATTAGTCCGGGGGGTTGCGAGTGGCTTGGCCCGGCCTACGGCGAAAGCATGTGTGGTGACGTTATGTGTGTGACATTTTGATTTTGGGGTTAGTAAAAGAAGGGTGGGTTGGGGTTTTCTTGCTATGTTCTAGGAGAGGGGGATTTTTTTCTGGGTGAGTGCTTGTGTTTTTCCTGCGACAGGACTCCGTTTAGAGTACTTGTTACTACTGATGGTCGGAGGGTATAGTGATGTACATCCTCGTCTTTAGAACACCATGCTTGTGTGTTATCTGTATTACGTAGAAACACTACTGTATACGTGTCGCGGATGCACAGATAAAAGACATGCATCTTTTGTGTCTTTCTCTGTTTGGCCACCTTGCGCATCTGCGGCTCGTTGATAGTGTAGGGCTTATCGTGCAGTTGTACATATGTACCTGCCTTGTTTCGTACATTACGTATGCGAGAAAAGTGGGCGCGCGTTGTCGTGTTGGGCATCTTACTACTGATAGATCATCAGCTGGAGTCTCGCCAGGATATCATTTGCTGTCGGTGAAAAAAAGCCACACGTTTCTTTTTCCAGGTACACAATGTCGTTTCTCAAGCTCGAGGGGCTGCACGTTTTCTGTACGGGTGCCGCGGGCGGGATTGGAAGTGCGATTGTGGAGGAATTGTTAGGTATGTGACGAGTCAATTACAATGCGCAGAAAATTGTGCATGCTGTAGTTTCTTCTACAAAGCAACGATGCTACACTTGAAATAACTACTAACAAGAAAATAGCCCAAGGCTGCAAAGTCACGGCGCACGATCTTGTCCCGAACCCTCTTGCCTCCACCAATCCCAACCTCTACTGTATCCAAGGCGACATTAGTTCTGAATCTTCTATCCAAGACTCAATCGCGAAAGCCGTTAGTCATTTCTCCCAACCAATAAGTATACTCTGCGCCAACGCGGGTATCACGGATGAATCTTGCAACTACCCTATTTGGGACATGCCCAGCGACCTGTGGGACCGCACCTATGCCGTCAACGTCCGCGGCACCTTCCTGACTATCAAGCACTTCCTCAAATTAGCCGAAACATACCAAACTGAGACTGGCAACGAGATTGAAAACCTGAGTATCATAGTGACCGGGTCCGAATGTGGGGTTTTTGGTCAGGCGGGACATGTCGAGTATGCGAGCGGAAAAGCGGGACTGCAGTATGGAGTTGTGAAGACGGTTAAGAATGAAATTGTAAGATTGAATGCAAAAGCGAGGATCAATGCCGTAGCGCCGGGTTGGGTGGATACCAAGTTGATTGAGGGAAGACTGGATGATCCGAAGGAGATGTGGAGGGAGGCTCAAGCTACGTATGTACCGAAATCTTCTGTTACGTCCGAAAGGGCTTGCAACCATGTACTAAAATATTTAGTGTACCATTGCGAAAGATTGCACAGCCAACGGATGTGGCGAGAGCAGTGGCTTTCCTAGCTAGCCACCGTGCAGCAGGCCATATCTCGGGTCAGTGCATTTCTGTGGACGGCGGCATGGAAGGGCGCATCGTGTGGTCGGAAGACGAAATTCGCAAATCGCAAAACACTGCTGCTGAGCCTGAAATACCAACTGCAGATGTTGTCGAAGAGACATTTGGCACTGCTACTCAAGGCGTTTCTCTAACTAGCAGAGATGCCTCAGCCTTGGCCGCTCCTCTGGCTTCGCCCTTGAGCGCTCCTCATAGCAGTTCCAAGCCAAAGATCAAAGTCCTACTCTCAGTCGACTTTGATGCTGTATCTGGCTGGCTAGGAACTGGCCAAAACCCGTCCAACAACCTCGCGGACTACAGTTCAGGCTTCTTCAGCGCCTACGTCGGCGTCCCGCGTCTACTCCGACTCTTTGCAAAATACGACATATCAAACAAGACAACATGGTTCATACCCATGCACAGTGCAGAAAGCTTTCCCAACGAATTTTCGTCAATCAAAGAAAGCGGCGCAGAAATCGGATTACACGGGTACTGTCACGAGGGGGCGCCTCAACTCACAGCAACCCAAGAACGCGAAGTCCTCGAACACTGCATAAGCCTATACCAGGAACTCCTCGGCAAGCGACCGCTGGGCTACCGCGCACCACTTTACCAACTGCGCGAAAACACAATCGAGTTGCTAGAAGAATACGGATTCCTTTACGATTCCAGCTTATCTCACCACGACAGCAAGCCATACTACATCCCCAAGTTGCCTCCAATCGAAGTGCCTAGCTACACCGACACCGCAGCAGCAAAAGACTGGATGAAGCCGCTGCCCAGTGCCGGCGCGCCAACATCCAAATCGCTCGTTGAAATCCCGGCGAATTGGTATGCCGAGGATATGACGCCCCTACAGTTTTTCCCCAACACGCACAATTCACAGGGTTATGTTGATGTTCGTGTCATTGAGAATATGTGGAAGGATAAGTTTGAGTGGATTAGGGGCGAGGCTGAGGAAGGGCTAAGAGGGGGTGATGATGTGGTTTTCCCACTGGTGTTACACCCGGATACCAGTGGTATGGCGCATGTTGTTGGCATGGTGGAGAGGGTGGTTAAGTGGTTGAAGGAGTTGGAGGGTGAGGGGGTGGTGGAGTGGTGTACGTATGCTGAGGTTGCGGGGGAGTGGAAGGAGAGGAATGCTGTGTGAAGTTTTGAGATGATACCTTTTGTGGTATGTCTACTCTTAGCTTCAATAGTAATTGAGGTATATTTCTTGTGCTGCTGTTTTAGCAATGATATCTCAGGAATTTGCAATCACATTGGTAACATGTTCTTCAACGCCAGTCCATTCCATATACAGCTATCTGCACAAACCTTTGCTTCTCCAGCACTGGTTTAACTTTGTTTCCTCTCCCTATCCCTATCAAAAAACAAAAACGACTATGCATTGCTGCCCTAGCAAGCGAGAGCGACTTTGGGACTTGAGCCGTGTCAGCTGATTATGCATTCCTCGTTCTACTAATATCTAGTTAGATCCCTGTTGTATCGTCACTTCACATACCCCTGGTGACTTCGTATTGCCTTGATAAATTTCCCAGCAAGATGCTGACTTCCCCTCTTTGTCCACGAAATTGTTTCATCAGCTTACGTTCGCGTGTAGCTAGTTGAATGAATATCTACATCTTACGTAGTGTTCAATAGCTGTGAGTTGTAAGTCAACATCAACACTGTCCTTTTACCATCACTTTTCGATGCTTTTTTTTCACAAAATAATTGCAAGTTTAAAGTTTCATGCTCGTTGTGGTGAATAACTGAATGCCGGCGACAAGGATGCCAAAGGCCTCTGATATTGTTACAAAGTGCTAGGGTCACTTCAACCGTCTTACATGCTCTTTCGCGTACTACTCCAATCAGGTGTGAGAATAGGCCAACGTGTCTCTATGTCTTACTGCCCGAGGGCCGATGTCGTCTTACGGGACTAGGTACTACGGCAGCACTGACATAAGCTTTGTGCAAGCTATGCCATGGCGTGGGCGGCAAGTCTTTCGTCATTCGCACTGACTACTTGGGAAATTTTCCGCACTACTGCAACAAAGAATGCTTTTCTCAGCGTGTTCTCAAAATGTGATGTTTGGCGTACTGAAAAAGAAGGATTTCAATAAGAGTAGAGTCTTGTGCTTGAAGACTGAGACCAGTACTACACAGATAAGAATGGTCGCAACTTGAAAATGGTTAGCAGATGATGACTGAAATCAAGTTGACTGGGTAGCATACCAAGCAAGCCCCAATTGAGCCCAAGGCTCTACATATCTACACCGGGGTGCTGCCCCTGTCCCCGAGTATATGCCGGTGGAGATGCCGTGACGACACTTGTGCCTGCAGGAGATCGCTCACATATCCCCACCCCCACATTGTCCAAAATTGGCTTTGTCGAAGATCAACCTGGGGCTCTGCAATCGCACTGTACATACGATTTTCACAAGGTTAATTCTCAAGAAGTTGATGATGAATTGTAGGCTCAAGTCTCCCATCTGTCGCATGTTGCTCTCTCTGTGACCCAGCCCACTCGTCAGTCAAGATACACGAGAAACTGATCTGTGCAGCTTACACACTTTTCCCGCGTACCACGAAGTATATACCCAGGTCAGTGCCTAGTAAGACAGGGGTATACATATCAAACAGGTTAACACCAGAAAAGCTTAGCTCAGATCAGAGAGCTCACTACCAACATACCCATCAGATATTGTCAGGGCTCCCCATGGAAAAAGGTGAGATGGATTTGAACAAACGAATGGTTAGGCGATGTTGAGCGTATCTATGTTTTGGTTAATCGCGCAACTATTCTGTGGGCTTCACAATCACACACTAGGCTTGGAAAAAGTTAAGAAGCTGCAGTATGAGTGACAACCCTGTCTTGCAACTGTACACGTATTGAGTGGTGTAATTAATTACCTTTATCTTTGCCTTGGGCATTTCCATTGCTTTTGAGATATTGTGATTCAGGATCAGATACGCGTGTATGATCGCGTGAGATGGACAACATAGGGCCGAAAAGTACAGCTTCAAGGTCGGGTAGTAGTCGTCCGTAGTAAGCCCGTTCAAAGTCGTGTAAGGTTTGATTGAGAGCAACATTCAAGCCCGTATATGCTGATGCTCTATATGCAAGCGATGATAAGATCTGGTCGTGGGGGTTCACGTTCTGCTATACTGATATACAATTCGACAACACCTGTATACACGTACAAGGGAGATGGTTCATGGAGGCCTGAGGAAAACATCTTTCCCCTTTTGTGGGACGGTTTGAGAACCTCCACGATGAAGTGTTTTTGCCGCTGATCTGTCAATCCCAGTATATGCCATACACGTGCTGTCAAGAGTGTAAACAAGTGGATTGTCGATTGAGCAGGTGATATACGCGTGGGGTAAAGGACGTCAACTACTCGTTGGACATTGTGCGGCCTGGGAGAAAATGGCACGGTTTGATACAATTGCGTAAGGATTGCGAGATATGCAAGTTGATGTGCGAAGCACGCAACCTCAGTCGGAAGATACGCAGTTCAGCGTGGGAGGGAAATTTATATAAGGGGGTGAAGCACTGCATCAACAACAGCACCACTCACATTGAAATATCAGTTCCAAACAGCAACTTCGGACTCCACCAATCAAGCCATGCGTGTCCTCATTGCGGCCATCGCTCTCTTGAGCATCTTTTCTGACCCCACCTCTGCCCATCCTTCTGTCCTTGACCCCCGAGCCCAAACCAAAAACATCTATATCCCCATCGGCCAGATCCTCCAAAACTCCAAAGTCGAAAAGTCGGGCAAGGGCACCCAGGGCCCTCTCAAATTCAAGGGGACACTCCCCCCAGAGCTCAAATCCCTCTACAAAAGCATGGCCCCCAAGCCTGATCCCCTCAAAGAATCCAAAATGGGCCAGAACGTCTGTCTCGGTGATCCATGCTGCACCAAGTATAACGATGGCAAAGTCACGCCCACGCCCTTTTTCGAGGTCAGCGAATGGAGCCAGCACCTCGGTATCCCGCGCCGCATCTCGGAACCTTTGTGTCCACCTGGCAGCGTGACCAACTCGCGAACGATATCCTACACGTATTCCATCAATGTCAATATCGGCCCTGATCTAAAATTCGGCCCATCTATTTTGGATAAGTTTGGAATTCGTGTCGGCTTTGCTTATACCTGGGGGTGAGTTTTCTTTTTCTTTGCCAGAACAGAGACACACTCTTGAAGGTGTCTTCAGATGGATGTTGCTTGGCTAACTACTTGTGATGCAAATAACAGAACTGCTACGACAGTCGGATATACTGCTGCTTGCACCGATGGCGGCAACTATCCTTGCTATTCTGTGTTCACTCCACGCATTGGTGTGATCAAAGGTTGGGGATATGTAAGTTCTAGAGCCACGCAATCTTATTTTTCTTCATCTTCTTTGCTATTTTTACTAACGCTTCTTCTCTGCGCCGGTAGATTGCAAACGTGGGCACGGGCGGTTTTATCTGTTCCAAAGGGCCCAGGTCGTTCATCGAGATTCACGTACCGGTTGTGCCATCCGATACTTGCAATGGAGGAGACAGAAATCCATGCGGACCTTCTGGTAAGACGATTCTTTTTCTACAGTCATGGAAACAAAAGAATTGGGTCGTTTCGGAGACTAATTGGTGTTTTGATAGGCGTCTACGATCATTGCTTTGCGACAGGACCGCAGGCGGCTGCCCTGTGCCCTCGCAGCAGTGTGGACTTGAAGCATCCACCCTCGCGATCCTGCCCCAATGGTATTACCGGGCAGCCGTAATGGCAGCGGCCATTCTCAGCCGATTTTCCTCGCTCTCTAAAGGCATACTGTATGCGTGTGTGCCAATTTTGAGGTCTAAGACCATACAGATTAGCTTCCGTCAACAAATCTTAGGGGGAAGTCGGCTATACCGTGATGGAGTGCGAGGTTTACTTATGGTGAAGTAGGGACAATGCCTTAGGACTAGATGCTGGCGCACTCAATTAGTCGTTGTGTGCTTGCAGCCTCCCTTAAGAAGACATTAAATTTACCTACTTTCACTTGATAAGCATGTTTTTCAACTGTAATAGAATCCTGTCACGACTAGGATTGCGTTAAATACCCTCCTATGTTGTAGTCGCAGAGACCGTAAACACGAACTAGATGAGATAACCATAAGTCTATACACGACTATAGGAGTGACTATCTTAGTAGCTCTTTACATGGCGGATGTCTAAGCTAAGCGGTCTCAAGTAATCGTAGAGGCATATAACGAAACTTGATACGCGGTTGTGTGGCGTTCTTGACCTTGCACGTATGGATGCGACAAAACACAAGCCCCCTCATATGCAGGAGATGTGCCATAGGTATGTAGTTTCCTTCCTGCCAAGAATTATATTACTCGCTACATACACTGAAATCAGAGTTACCATGGTTGTTTGTCCGTATTTTTGCACATATCTTTGCACGTTGCTTCTTGCTTGGAAATCAGTGTTTCCGCCGTTTTTTGCGCAAACCACCCCACTGCCGAATCCTTGTCCTACAAAAATTACCACCAAGTGAGCTCCTGTCTGTTGCAACACGCCAGGGCGATATTGGGCAGAGTTCGAACAAATTCAACCAACCTCCAAGCTTGAATACTCAACAATATGCCTCACCAAGCCCAAGGTAGTGTACTGAAGTGCATGGAGCGCGTGTTGTAATCTATAAAGACACATTAATTAACCATTGCTAGATTGCTGAGGTCGCCTTAGATAGGCAAGCGTACCACTGCTACCTTGTAAGGATTCTTCTAATCACATCATTCAAGCAGAACAGCCAACTACAATGTCTTTACTCTTTACCTAGTCGACTGCTATCCACACAACTACACCTTGGGACGTCATCAATTAGCGCAATTTTAGATTAACTCCTGTTCCGGAATGACGGAATTACGCCCGTAGATTCAGCATGTATGTATAGTTAGCTACATCTTTTGAGCGTGATCAGTTCGTATGCACAGACAGCTTGTTACAAATGAAGCTTACGATATATTCGCACTAGCACGAAGTATAAGAACAATACAAGCGAAGCTTTAAGAAGGCACTACTACAAGTCTCTCAATCGCCTTTCAAATTGTGCTTTGCCCGCCTTTACCACCCATTCTTCCGTAACCAAAACAAGTCCGCAGTCAAACCCGCCGAAATGGTTAAGATTGTTTTCGGAGGCTTCTCGTTGTCTGATCAGGCATACTTCAAGATACTAGAAGAGCGCAATCAGGCTGTTAATTTACTTCTCAAGAATGGTGTTAACAATATCGACACTGCACACATTTATCCTGGCTCCGAATATGGCGTCGGCCAGCTAGAGAAGCGGAAGGAGTTTACTATTGATACTAAGCTCCCTGGCGGAAGTATCCCTGGCTCAATCACGAAAGATGGCGTTATCAAGTACTTGCAAGAGTCACTGAGGCGCCTGCAGATTGATCACATTGATGTTCTGTACATCCATACACCCGACGACTCGGTTCCTATTGAACAGACGCTTGAGGGCATCAACGAAGCCTATAAGAAGGGCGCTTTCCGCCGCTTTGGACTAAGCAACTATACCGCTAAACAAGTCCAGGAAGTCTATGATATCGCTAAGGCAAAAGGATACCTACTTCTTCAAGTATACTAAGGCTATTTTAATCTGATTTCTCGTTATGGAGAGACTGAGCCTCTCTCTACGCTTCGCAAGCTCAGTATCAATTTCTACGCGTATTCGGCTATTGCTGGTGGCTTCCTGACCAAGTCAATTGCAGACCTCGACGCAGGTGTTGGTCGGTTCAACAAAAATGTCATGGGTGGGCTGTTTAGCATGCTGTACGACCACGAGCACTTGCGCGAGGCGCTATTTACATGGAACTATATAGCTAGGAAAGAGGGAGTGTCAAACGCTGAGCTTGCGTACCGCTGGGTAGCGTATCATAGCGCGCTACATGGCGACGAAGATGGTATTCTTCTTGGTGTCAGTAAGCTATCGCAGATTGAGCAGACGATCCAGGGCATCAAGAAGGGGAAATTGAGCGATGAGGCAGTCAAGGCTATTGAGGTTGTCTGGGAGAACATCAAGAGACATCCCCCAGTGGGTGAAATGAACGATGTGGTGGCATCTGTAAGGGATGCGAGGATCTCCTTGGAGTAAGCATAGGCATAGGTGTAGGCTTCTGAAGAGTGGAACGGTTGGCCGATAGCGCCCGCAATCTGGAGAATTCTCTTATGCTAATATGCGTTTGTATGACACTACTTTGAAAAGATCGTCACTTCGAATTTCAGAATGGAGGGTCCAGGTAGGCCCCGAACGCGCACCGATGCACTTTGTCAAAGGTACGGACAAGATGCCACGACCCAAAGGATCGAGAGGGAGCTTCTCAGCAGGCTTGAAAGAAAAATATGAAGCTGCAGAGGAAATAGGGAAACCAGAATTTTGCTCAGCCTAGCGGCAAAGAAGGGATGTAATTGATGAAGCGTGTAAGTGACTCCACGCCAATCCAATGCCCAGAATGATGCGACTCACAAAATCCATATGAAGATAAAATTTAACTAGCGATTCATATCAGTAGTTTTCACGTGTTCAGGACGACCAGTTTCCCTCAAAATCTCGTGTGTTCGTCTAAGGTAGCCTTGGATAGTCGGCCAAGCCTCGTGACTCATGTACGCAAGGTGCATCAACTCTCGGGAGAAGTTTCATCTTGCTGGAAAATTAATGTTTCGACCGGTGGTGTTGGCTCAAATAAGCTTCGCGGTAGATTTAAGGGAATAGTAGTGACTCACTTATGATAGATTCATTCCAAGTTCCAGGTGAGGCTTAAAGGTGTATGCTACAGTCATAGAAGATCGCTGGAAAAGAGGTAGTCAGTATTAGCAGCCTGAAAAAGGCTACGGCAGGTCATCTTCTTTTGTGGCGGTGTAGTGGTGTGCTGGAAACAGCGGGGAAAGTGAGGGGCGAGCTAGCTGAGTAGGCAGCAGAGCTGAACAGGCAGCCGTGCTTAGTGACTATTTAGACATTTATACTTCTCCCCTACCCCAGCTACTCAGGGTTGATCTTCTTCCTTCAAACCGATACTCAAGGGCTAAGCGCATACTTGACCTATTGTTCGCAGTCATGGCTAAAGACACCGGAACTGTCTATTTCAACAAAGATAGTGCGGAGTATGGCTTCATGAGCAACATGCATATCGCGCCATTCACCGTTGACGACGTCGAGTACAAGTCTACCGAGCACTACTTCCAGGCTGCGAAGGCGCGTCACTTCAAGGACCATGTATATAGAAATCCCATATTTGCCCGTCACTCTTCATGTATTGACCAAGCGTAGGATATTCTGCGCGAGATTCTCGATTGCGACAGCCCAGTCAAGGTTAAGTCCTTTGGAAGAAAAGTGACTCCTTTTGACCTCAACGAGTGGGATGAGCGTAAGTTGTAGTATCCCAAGAACTACATTCCATGCTTATACCGTGGAGTCAAGGAAGCGGTGATGAAGGAAGGCAATATGCATAAATATGCCAAAAACCCTACCCTTCAAGAGAAGCTTCTTGCCACTGGCGACCGCCATCTAGCTGAGTGTAACCCCAGAGATCGTTTTTGGGGAATTGGTGTTGGCAAGGCCAAGGCAGAGGCTGTTGGCAAGTACCCCGGCAAAAATGTTATGGGGCTTATTTTGGAGGATGTCCGAAAACACTTCCGGGAGGAAACTAAGCAAAAATAGCTTCTCAAAGAGATTTTTTCGGGTACATTTCTTTTATATTCCTGCTTAAATGTGGTTTCTCACTCGTGAGGGAAATTAGTCTGCCCTGTACAATGGCTGGTGGGTCTGGAAGAAACCAGGAGCAAGGAGATCTGAAGTGGTAGGAAATGGTCAATAACTGTAGCTCCTGAGCATATTATCGCAAAGAATTATTTCAATAGACTACCGACACTGCTATCTTGCTTGCAGTGATACTCCGTACCGTAAGCGCCATAAATCCATGGGGGACTAACAGTATTTGAGTAAGCCGATTGGATATTCATGATTCATACATGAGTTGTTTCTTAGTATCAAGGCAGAAGTAAGAAAGGTTTGTAACCTGGCCCTCTATGCGGAGCACGAGCGCGAAATTCTTGCGTGATTGGGCTCATGTATTTGAAGCTACTCAGCGTGGGTCCTTGTGCATTTGTCTTCATTTATCATACTATCTAACAGTGCAAAGACTCACTCTACTCTATGGGTGGATCTATCGTCTCACTTCTCCAGTTAAACAATGCTGAAAGAGCCTCTATATTCTCTCCACCAAGCAGGAACTTGATTAGTGCGTTCCTCATTTCACAATCACGCGTATTCCCTTGCTGCTAGCCTTGGGAAGAGGCACGAAGAAACTTCCCGCCATATCCACGTCGCTTCTATCTGTCTCATACAACTCCAAATCTACCAACCTGAACAATCCTGAGAGACCTAGATACATTTCTGCCAACGAAAAATTCATGCCCAGACACATACGCGGGCCCTTGCCAAAGTTGGTCAAATACTTGCTTAGCGGATGTCCAGTGGATGTCATAGGGTTATCTAGCCAGCGCTCTGGGATAAATTTATCCGGATTAGGGAATAACTTTGGATCCGTGACCTGTAGGTAATTTGACATGCTGAATTCTGTACCAGGAGGTATGACGTATTGGTCATACTGAATAACACCCATTGGATTTGTACGTTGAAGTCGATTAGTCAACCCATACGACATACGTAGAGCTGTAGAGGTTAGCTTGGAGTGTTTGAATGTCCGTGAATTGCTTACATTCTTGCACAACCGCGTTTAGGTACGGTAACTTTTCAAGTTCGGTGAGAGGCAGCAGTTCATCAGGGTTAGGCATAGCCTTCTCAAGCTCCTCTCTCAACCGCGCCTTAACGCCTGGCGTTTGCAGGATCCAGAAGCTTCCAACGGTGAGTGCCGTCTTTGTCGTGTCGATACCTGCACCCACAAAACTCTGCGCTTCATGCTCCATCATCTCCTGGGTAAGTTCGCTCCTGCTCATGCTAGACTTGAGTAGCTCGTGGAAGACAGTGCGATGTGTGACATGCTTGTCTGCATCATTTTCGCCAGCCACAATTCGTCGGATCTGGCCTCTCACTTCCTGTATTTGTTCAGCGGGGTGTATGATGTTAGAGATGAGCAACTTACATGGCGAAATTCAAAGACTGATTTCACCTTAGGGTCTACCATAACAAGGAACCACTCCGGCAGGCCCTGGAGCCACTTTGAAATGGTGGGAAAACATGTTGCAAACGGAAATGAGTAAAGAAAATTGTGGATAGCCGTTGTAAATGGCGACTTGAATTCGGGAAAATCCAAGAAATCGTAGGATAAACCACAGATGTACCAGGTGAGTACGTCAGCCACATAGGCGCCCCAAGCCTCGTTCAGACATACTACCTTTCCAGTTCCCTTGTATTGCGTCTCGAGAATATTGCACATCTTCTTGATCCGAGAGCTGGTGTAAGGGCTAAAGTCTATGATCTTTTGCCTAGTAAAGAAAGGAGCAACAGCTGCTCTGCGGCGGCGATGATAATCATGTTCGATTGAGTCGACTAAGGCTTGTGGGTGCGCAAGGCGATGCGCCATTTGCGGTAGTTTGTCGTACTTCGACTTGGTATTGAAAAGCTCATTGTAGAACTCTGCATCGCGAATGTGTACCTCTGTTGGTGTAATACGAATAATTGGGCCTTGCCACTGAGGATCAATATGGGTATTGTTGAAATCACTCGTGTCACAACTTACCATATTTTTCATGCCATTCTTCAATTTTGAATATAAATCTTCCTCCCTTTACCACCTCCCAATATGCCTCAACCCAAAAGGTAATTGCAGTAAGCTTGGGGCCCGGTATGTTTGCAATGGGACTAAAGAAGAGACGATATACAACTAAACCAACAAAGTAAAGGAAACTGCCCAACAGGGAGACGATGATTGTGTTTTGGTTGAGAGTTGACAGTACAGCCATGATAACTAAGGCAATTGCTAACACACAAGAATGATGGCCGGCAAAGAAGGGTAGCGTTACTATTTTATATTAGAGTGTTTCGTGATTGGGTTGCGCCTATTCTTGGATGTCTGCGGCCTCGTTAGAAATGCTAGATACTATGTGCTGCAGGATGCGGCCCGATCTAACTCTATAACGAACAACACACTACCTTGTCTATATTGTGGTGCATGTCACAGGTTTTGTATGTGGAGACGCTAAGATCACGATCGGGCTCTTCTTCGGATGATTCTATACCCGATCCATGAGAGAGAAATCTTAGAATACTCTTAGTATCGCGACTCTAATTGGTATAGGTTGTACTGTTTATAGTATAGCTCTTACTCTCTACTCCGACCTGTATTATCCCCTTGCTAATGGTCCACACACAAAACTTGTGCTATGTACTACAGTAATCTCTTAAACATCCATGTATGTCGGCTGCATTGGTTCTACCCGGACGATATTGAAAAAATGGCTCAAATCTGTTAGAAATGCTATGATCGGCCGGGCTCCGAGACGTCGGAGATAGGGATGTCCACCGATTTAATCTTGCACGGCTCTCGCTTTCATACCATGTATTATACAATCTATTACAAAGTTAATTGCCTATTACATACGGTCGTAGATTATGTAAACTCTATTCAGGCGTACGTATTGGATCTGTGATTTTATAGCTCTTACAAACGCTTTGCTTAACATCCAACAAATGTGCTCTCCAAAGGATAGGAGAACTCGCCATGTCGGCCATGTCTAGTACTCAGACCCCCGACATCCGAAGACCGATGGCCGATAACCGAGGCGCAGAAGCTATCTCCGATATGCAGAACTACGCCCAAGCTTGCCATAGCGAGAGAACATATACATATCATTAGACCAGTTCCAAAAAAATTTCGAGGTCGACGTATGCCTGATTGACAAAGCAAGCAATACTCTCATGCAACGACGGCCACCCAACCAAAATCAATGGTGATACGCCAGAAAGCTCGCGACTTCTAAACTTTGCAAAACCATTACGATGATATAATTCTTATTGTTTTCTATGAATGCGGTATGCGTCACATATTAGAGGAATAATTTAAGCAAATGATGACCTAAAGATGAAAGTTATTGAGGCTACAGGCTGTATGAAATATGAACTATTCTAGAGTGCCGGTCCTTTTTTTTTCCACTTGGTAAGGCTTTACAGCAACATGTCCCACTTTTGCATTTGGAGTTATGTATGATGTGTACCAAGTATGCTTTCTATTGAATTCCGAAATCCACCAATAACCGCTATGCGAGCCTCGGAGATATCATTCGGCTCCGACATATTCGCTCTCATCTACATACCGAGTATGGTAACAGAGAGCCCGGGTTTAATCGGAAAACGTTCGTTTTTCGGAGAAACGAAGTGCTCATGATCTCCACAGACGGATGATAATGGGTTTTGTGGCTTCTAAGAGTATCATAATCTTGGCTTAGCGGCAAGTGAATAGATTACTGTTCTAGCACTGTATCATAACTCTGGCCTTGCTCTCGGTCAATAAATTTTCATCAGATAATAGATAAGATTATAATACGATCAGATAAGATAAATCATAGTTTTCATCTGATAATAATCATACGACTACTACCGCTCGATTGGGTAATCCGTGAGCGAAGTGTGGGTGTACCACAAAGGCGGGTTTGCCTTAGCCACATTTGTACCGGTGGAAACTCGAAACCAGCTCGTATTCCGTCTATGAACATTGATGTTGCACTGCATTTACCTAACATGGCAGGAAGGTTGCAAGATTCACGTGGGGGAGATGGGTTGGGACAGGGTAGGCCAATCACCACGAGCAACTTCACCCAACATATATATATTGCCAGTGGCACAAGAATTCAATTTTATCATGTCATCACTAGTATTTCCTGCAGATAGATGCATTGCAGGATGAGTTTGGAATTCAAGTGAGCAAAGTCAAAAGCTATACCAAGCGTCATTGCTAACCACACTTACAACGATGTAGAAGTCCTCCCTCCGGCAAAGAGGAGTATTCTGTACAGGCTGGAGACCATGGCCTGAACTCTGCTCCTGCATCGCCTAAGCCAATTACAAAGTCCAATACCCCTCACATCGACGAAAAACCAGGTGCTCCTAGGTCAATAGAGATAACGGATGCCGACCATGAGTCGGCAAAGATCGACACCTCCGCCCCGAAAGGAGTTCAGAATATACAAGCCTTGACCTACTCATGGTCTAAGAAGGACCTCATTGTTGCTTATATCATGTATGACTCACTCTAGGTGCATGCTGGCTCTAGCTAACCTTTGACAGGGTGTGGCTAATAGAATTTATACTCACATGGACTTCGGGTACTGTGGGGACGCTAACCCCATACATTACCAGTTCGTTCCGGGAACACTCACTCACGGCGCTTACCGGCGTTATTGCATCCATTGTTGGAGGCTTATGGAAGCTGCCGTATGCAAAAATAATGAACGTTTGGGGTCGTCCTCCTGCTCTCTGCCTCGGAGTCGCCTTCACAACCGTTGGGCTGATCATGATGGCTGCCTGTAACAACGTGCAGACATACTGTGCTGCGCAGGTGTTTTTCACCGTAGGTTACAGGTCGGTTGACTTTTCGCTAATAGTCTTCGTCTCCGATACGTCCAAGCTCAAGAACCGAGGATTCTTCCTCGGATATCTTGGTTTACCTTGGTTAATCACGACCTTCCTCTATGGATTTGCAGTGGATAGGATTGTCAGTCCTGGTGGGATAGGCCTAAGATGGGGCTTTGGTATCCTCTCCATCCTTGTCCCCATCGTCTGCTTACCGCTGATCGGCCTCCTCTATGTCAACCAGGCCAAGGCGCAAAAGCAAGGCTTGATTGAACCCCGCCCTGATCATGGCACTTTCATCCAGAAGCTCATTCATTATGGCAAGGAATTCGACCTCATCGGATTGCTCATTCTTGCGACAGGAATGGCGCTCTTCTTGCTCAGCTTCAACCTCTACTCATACCAAGCCGACCGATGGAAGTCGCCCATGATCATCTGCTTTATCATTTTTGGTGCCCTTCTCATCATTGTCTTTGGACTATGGGAGAAGTACTTTGCACCAATTCCTTTCATTCCTTGGCATCTCCTCAAGAACCGCACTGTCATCTTTACCTATACCATGGCTGCAACTCTCTATATTGCTTCGTCCTGTTGGAGTCCATACTTTTACTCTTGTCTGATTGTCCTTTACAACCAAACCATTGTTCATGCTACCTACGTCAGCAACGTATATGCTATGGGCGCCTGCTTCATGTCCTTCGTATATGGTGTTTGCTTACGCTATTATGGACGCGTAAAGGTGTACTCCTTCTTTTGGGGAGTACCACTTACCGTTCTAGGCACGGGATTGATGATTAACTTTCTTCACTCCGATGACAACATTGGATATTTAGTTATGTGCTATCTCTTTCTTTCGCTAGGAGCGGGTGTTCTGGTTACTTCAGAGCAGACGACGCTTATGGCCGTTTCCAAACAAGAGGACTTTCCTGCTCTTCTAGCATGTGAGTCTCTGGTTATTTCTACAGGGAATGCTATCGGATCAACAATTGCGGGAGCCATCTGGACTGGCGTTTTTCCAAAGAGGCTATTAGCCAACCTTCCAGTAAATGTGTTGCCCGAATTTGCAAAAATTTACGGAAGTCTCCAAGTACAGGCAATGTACCCGGTTGGATCTCCTACACGCGATGCGATTAACCTGAGCTACGCTCAAACTCAAAGGTACCTGCTCATCACGGCCACGTGCATCAACAGTCTCTCGTTGGTCAGCGTTGCATTTTGGGAAGACATTGATCTGAAGAACCAGAAGCAACGTACATTTGGTCCGTTGTAAAGAACTCATCAAAAGCTTGATATCGCGAACAAGACGATCGAGGAATGCGTAAAGGTGGTCGCATGAAACGCTGCGGAGGTGGAAGCGGGCGGGTTTGACATGCTAGGTACGGTGGGCAAGGTTGTTTCTTGCATTGCGGCCATTGTGTTGGTGACCTATATGGTTCTGAACATTGTCAGCATCTCCGATGTGATGAAGTAAAATAGCTTGCAAATAATCATCAATGACAACTACATAGCGTATCTCTATGGCATCAGAATTGCATTCCACCAGTACAACGCTATAGTTTTATCGAGTAGCCCTGCCACTGTCCCAGTCCTTGCCTGGCAGTAAGCTATTGAGGCAAGATTCTTGAATTCATACAAGGCGGAAGGGTGCTAACCTGATGATTAGTTTTAGGTATCAGCTATGAATTAGCTTCAGATCAACATGCTTATGAAGCACGGGATAAAATATATTAAAAAAGGCTTGATAAACGAATATGTGAACGCTTGACTTAAACTCGGGCAGCTATTCTAGTCGGCTTTTACTACCCAAGTAGCATCATCTGTCACCGTTTTCACAACAATTTTTGTTGTTTCCATTGCCATTTCATCCCAGTCTCTTGTGATTGTTGCACGGGCCGCTCATGCCCTCATTTGACGCAAGCAGATATATCCACTTCGGTCCAAATATATGGCTCAAGCAAGCTTGAAGATCCGAAATTGTGATGACATGAGGGTAGAGCCAATCAATCGCGTGGCCAAGTTATTAGCGAAATAAGAGATTGAGCAGAAGGACTTCGTTATAACGCCTTATTGGTTGGAGGCTGCCTCCGCAGAGAGACATGTCAGGATGCGGTGCGAGCAGGATTTCGGATGGATAAACCAATCAAGCAACGATGCATATATGAAGGTGACACGGCATGGGGCGTAGCCATGCAGGAGGAACTTGTATTTTTGGGTGTGTTACATGTATTGAAGGTACGTTCCGTTGGTACCAAGGCTGCGATAGTAGCATCATAATCACCAAGAAAACTGGGGAATCGCATCCAGCAGTTAGCTAGATGATCTGTTTAAGATTTCAAGTTCTTCTCTTCTTACTCGTTCGTAGACTGACACACACACACACGTGCCTCATTGACTTTTCTGGGTGACCAGAATGCAACGCCTACCATTGTGCTCTCGAAGACGTTGACGTTCCAGAGGTCCACCTTTCTTTTTGTGATTGACTAATAGCGCCTTTTTACGTTCGCCAACCTCGTGGTGAAATAGCTCATTTTCGATTGAGATGTAATGGAGTGAGCGACGGACTGTCGGAGTAACTCGGTCCTGAAACTCGAGGCTTTGCCTACAACTCATGATGTCTATTCCGATGAGTCCGCATCATTCGATTGAAACTTAAGTCCTGGGATCTGCTTGCGCTTCTTAAATGACACCAGCCAAAGTCTTCGCATCCCTTGGGCACAACGTCCGCAGCTCTTCGTAATCGCACTCTCCGCGTGGTCATCTCTCCCTGAGCTCTCTTTTCCGTTAATTTCACTTCATGACACTACTCGCAGCTCTGTGCGACGGCGCAATATATTTATTGCGTACTTAAGAGCATACCACGCGCTGTCGGGCTGGTGTTGCGCGCATCCGGCAGCGTCGGATCGGAACTCTAGGAGTCCGACAGTTTCGGATCAAAACTATTTGGGTAAAGTCCCAGCCAGGTGGGAGGAGCGACACCAATATATAGCCGTCGCTGCCCCTCCCCCCTGTCGAGCGACACCAATAGACAACCGTCGCTCGCCGCCCTAGTCCGCAAGCTTTTCTGGTTCTGGATAGCGCGTGCTACACCAGCCAGCCTGCTCATCTCATTATGAGTGGCGGGCAACAATTGCATGCTCCGACGTTGAGTATTGCTGCTAACATTATCGGACGGACAGCTTGAGCAAGCGACAACAATCAGCCACAGTGAGATTACCTAGTGTAAACCAAACGACACCGAATGTCATCCGTTGGTACCGCTGGTAAAATGGCGTAACATGCCTCATAGTCTCTCGGTGGACTGAGCTGAGCCGGATTAAATCAAGGCGTCAGCTACAAGAGACAGGAAGATTTACGACGAAAAGATACTTCAATCGCCTTTGCTATGATCCGAAGAGCTTCTGTTTTGCATTTGCTGGCAATGGCGTTGCCACATTGGGCGTGGCTGTATTCAAAATGGGTAGCCTCTCTGACATTGTCTTGCGCTCATATCTCCAATTTAGCATTGAATGAACCAGGTGGGATATGTGGACCGTGTGTTGGTGATGCTTCACGAGCGTCAATGATGCGTTCGATAACTGCAAGAGCCGGCCAGATAGGTGCATCCATGTCACCGGCGCTGCTTCATCCTTTGTCGCCAATACACTGCTACTTAATGTGGTCTATTTGAGAAATACACGGCACTGACGCTGGTGTAAGACCGTGGTCTCGTCTGCTGTTTTGACAAGGAATGAACTTCTCGGCGATAATGTTGGGTTATTGGTCTCTTAAGAAATACAACCACGTGTATTGGAAACAAGATTGAGGCGCACCGATCTCCTTTGCTACAGTCAAAAAGCAGTTCTCTCGGGTTGTCTCCGAAGACTTCATTCCACATCTCATTTTATGCGCGCACGTTTTGAGTTGTAAACAAAAGTCACATCTGCATATAGGGAGGTTGGGCCTTTCTAAGAGCGAAGTTATTGGCCAATAGCATTTGTAGTTTGCAATGTTCTACCACTATGCCACCTTTTTTAAAATACTACAACAAGACTGTAAATCCAGATTTGAGAATGGAGGGGCCGAATATGCCCCGAACGAGCGAGAGCATCAATGCACTTTGTCAAAAGTATGGATAAGATGCCACAACCCAAAGAATCGAGAGTGAGCTTCGCCGCAGGCTCAAACGGAAGACATGAAGTGTCCACATCCTGGGCATGACTTCCTCGCTGAGCCTATCCAAATTAAACCCCAAGGGTCTTCATTTGGACAGGCTCTAGCTCGGTCATTTAACCCCGTGCAGCGCTGTGATTTTTGGGGCCTTTGGCCCAGTCCAAACAATCTTTTCCTGGGTAGTCGTATCGTTGGTATCCTGGAAGCCCAGGAAGCGTAACGAGTGCTACTAGATCCTTCACTCGAACCTATATAATGTTAGTGTCGCCACACAAAACTAAGTAAAATACTAACCCAAGGGCCCCGCCACCCAAGCCCGCCATATATCTACGGACACCCACCCACCACCCCATCCCCATATACCCACAACACTGGGTATATGGAAAGCCCGGTCATGGCAGATATATCCACCACGCCGGGCCATCATATATCGAAATATATGGAAATATATCACGGCCTACAGGCCGGAAAGAGGGAAAAATATATAGCAATAGCGGCTATGCACTCGCCATGCCAAAAGAGGAAAACAAAAATAAAAGATAAGAATAAGAGTAATCATGGTTGCCAGAAACAAGTAGAGATGTTGAGCGTGAGGAGTGGCAGAAGGAGGGCGGGGAGCTGGCTTATATAGCCAAGGGTCAAGGCTTCACTGCCTCACTGTCCGTAAGCGGGGGTGTCACAAGGGGACTACTGTAGGCTGCTATTCAATTTCACTCTTGAAAAATCCCCTATTTTGGTATGTCTCATGAGGTCAGGGCAAACGCATGAGAAGGCAAGCTTTGGATTAGGCGTGGTAGCGCTTTCACGTCAGCCACGTGTGTCGCTGTTCGCGCAAACGCCTCAGTTTGTTGGAGCGGAATATGATGTGACACGGTCGAAAAACGTAGGTCCTTGGTAGTTTTGTAATTTCAGGCAAAGCGCTGGAGTAGAGTTGCCACGTGAACGACATGAACTGGTGCTTCGCGTGCAGCGCTATCGCAAGGTGAGGGGGGCATGATGTATGATTCTCAAGGTATTGCTATTACACTCCAGTATCTTCGAACCTACTAAGAAGAGGCAGCCGAGCTTACATGCAAGTTTCTCTTTGTTCCTTTGAACAATGTTTCCTAGGCGCCTCCGTGGGCTTCATCGAGCCGCTTCTCAGAAGCGTCCGTCTCCTCGCGCAGATACTGTATAATGTCCAATACTCCTGCTTTCTTGAACCCATCGGTCATATTCTGTTCAAGGTTGTTGAGTTTCTCCCGAGTAGATGCAATCAAGGCTCGCTTTTGTTCATTCATCTTTAACGCTTCAGCTTTGAGAGCTTCAAGTTGCTCACACTGCTCATCGTAAATCTTTTCTAGTTCCTCCAACTCAAGGTCTAATTCGTCGATGGGGGTCTGAACCTCCTCAGTCTCCATCATTCGCTTGTAGTCGAAGTCCAGATTCTTGTTGTACGGGGTGTTCTGGTTACGCCAGTGGTCGCATTGTTTCCAGAAAACGGCACGTGCAGCGTCGTCCAAACCAGGCAATCGAGCGCTGGTCGTCTGCACTCCACCTTGGAACACACCAAAGCCGCCGCCCGTCTCGATCATGCTACCAGTGATGACGCCAATCAATGACTCAGCAACCGAGACTTCATGTGGATGGGCCATGAAGCAGACGGTGTAACCTTCGAACGTGAATTTTGCGTCGGGCGCTTCAAGGCGAAAAGCATCGAGCGCCATCTGCTGGAACCAGCTGGTACCCCCCTTGTCATGCTGAGCTCCTCGCGCTGTAACGTTGATGCTGTAACCAACATATTTCAGTGGCTTTTCGAGAGGAACGTCGATCAGATCTGGATCTAGTTCGCTCAGACGCATCTCCAACGCGGTGCAGAAGGTGATGATCTGCTGTACGCGCTTGATGAGTCCTTGTAGATGATGGTGACGACCATTCTGTATATCTTCAATGCTTGAGCGGTGGTTCCTGGCATTGTCCAAAGCAACAGCATCCTTGAAATATTCAGGGTCGCCCGAGATATACCTACGAAGGCGTTGGATAACCTTTCGGCACTGCTGCGGCGTGGGTGCATTATGTTCCTTGTCGACAAGATGGCAGATGTATATCGCTGCCGACTTATTCGTGCCGGTCGAGTTCTGCTGCCACGCTGCATCCTCTGAATGGTATTTTGCCAACTCGGGATTCCCGTCGTGGATAGCCTTGCATAGGTTGCTATTGATTATCAAGCGGAGGACCTCAAAAGGCATGGATGCCATAATCTGTTTTTGGATTAGCAGGCTTTCGCAGTCTTGAATTGGAATCAACTTGCATGCACAGCCGACAATTTGTAACCCGGTTCTCCAATGTCCACTGCTGAATGCTTGTCGAACTTCTCTTCCTCGAATGCGGCCGCAGCGACATAGCTATAGCTCATCTCAAGTCTGGCACCATAATTGTAACTAGGCCTTATTGCTTGATCTTCGGCCTGCACCTGGAAGTCTGGGTTGATAGGCAGAACCACTGATTTCAGCTGGACAGTGCTTGTGGTTTCTAGATCCAACACTTCTGTTGGCCTCACTGCTATGGTCTCGAATTCTTCAACAACTGGAGAGCTCGCTTCTGGTCTGAACGTATTTTCAGAACCACAGTCAGTCATGGATGCGTCGTTCGTAACCTGCATGTTCACTAATGGACTATGAGCAATGTTAGTAAGTTCCGTTTCAGCGGTTAGTTTGCTTACTGAATCGAGCTCTTTCGCTGGCCGCTGCCCTTCTTGCCGTAAGTCCTGGAGTTGCTGGCCATTGTTTAGTCGCGGGGTAGGTGTTGTATAGAAGCTAGGTTCCTTTCGCAAATCTAGGCGGGAGTGAGCTGTGTGCCTTCCTGCCAAGGCCGGTTCGTGTGACTGATGAGCTACACGGCTTTTTCACTAACGATTGCAGCGAACCTTTGCAGACGATACAAAATCTTTTCTCTGCCTGTTTACGCATCATCTCTAATTGTTCGCGAAGAGACACCGCCGATCTAGTGCAGCATGGCTCTCCAACTGTTCCCGTATACGTTCCAAGGGGCCAATGGTGATACGGCAGGAGCAAGTGCTTTTTTTTATGCCGGCAAAGTAGTAGGACGTCAAGTAGACAATATTAGGGAAATTGAGAGGAAAGAACGCAGAGTGAAGGTGATGAAGCAGAAGGTACGCAACAGAAAGGAACAAATCAGCACTGTCCTAGCCGAGCAAGAGAAGGGTCACAAGGAAGTCAGCATTCTTGCAAAGAGAGAAGCGCTTGCAGGCATTCTTAGCCGTTTAGAAGGTAAGTTCCATAGCTCTTTACATGTCAAATACATGACTAACCAACTTGGATGAATTAGAAGAGAGTACATCGACGAAGCAAAGTGATCGAACGATAATCACTAGGCAACAGGCCTCTCTGCAAAGCTCCGAGCGGCAACTGAAGACTTTAAGAAGCGAATCTGATGGATACAAGAAGGCGGCCGAAGATCAGCAACACCAAGCAAATACCAAAATGTTTTCCCTAGAACAGCAGGCCATACGAGCGCAGCATGAGCTTTCCAAGGCGAACAAAGAAGCTGGACGGATGCAAGCTAAGCTCTCCGAAGCAGACGTGGACAGGTCTTCTTTCGAATCACAGGTCGAGCGACTGCGTGGAGTAGAAACGGAATTGCGGAAGGAGATCGTTAGACTCGGAGAACAAGTTAGAGAAGCAAGGACTCAAGCTGAAGCCGAAAAGGCAAAATCCAACGAGCAAGAGAGGGAGGTTAAAGCCCTCCAAGAACACACTGACAAGTGAAGAACGGAACCGGGCAAGCGCATCAAAGGCCTTTCCACCAGTCTTCAGGCTGCAATACAAGATTGTAGCGACTTGGCATGGGACAACAGGCTACATAAAGAAACAATCGCGAACCAGGAACGAGAGATCAATACCGCTAACAGCTATAACGAACAGCTAGCAGAGGAAATCCGAGGACTCAAAGCCGCTCTCGAAGATGGACAGCAGCGTAACGAGTCTGCGAACACTGAGCTGGATGCAGCCAAAACAGTAACTCAGCGCGCGCTTAAACGTGCTGATGAATTCGAGCAGTCGTTGAACACTGCTAAGGAAACACATGCAGCTAGGGTAGTGACGCTCCGGGACGAAGTCGTCACTCTCCAAGACAAACTAGTAATTGCAAAGAAGGAACATTTAAAAGTTAAAGCAAGAGATGCGAAGCAGACTCAGGCTGCCGGGGAAGACGAACTTTTCCATACCAAGGCTCAAGCGCAGCTTGACATCGATCAAGTCCATCAGGAATCCGAACAATCACAAGTCAAAGATACGTTGGAGCGCAAAAATGGCGAGTTGCAGCAGCACGTCACAGATTTGGAAGCCAGATTATCCAAGAATCGCAGGGACTTGAGAAGTATCGTAAGCGCTCGGGAAGATCTGGTTCTTGCCCTCTATGAAAGCTTGAGTATCGAATCACCCGACCTGAAAGGAAATTATGATAGCCGCGAAGCATTACCTACAGCCAATACTCGCTATATCAATCCTTTAAACGATCTGTGGAGGAGAGTTCAAGCTCAGATAAAGGTACTTCAGTGGACAAAAGATCAAATTGTCTGTCGAGCTCGAGGTTTACTCGAGCTCAGCTTTTATTTACATTCTCGGGTACATAATAATTCGGCTTTGTCATCCCATCCTAGTTCAGTTTCAGTCTGGTAGAGATGGCTTACCCAATTCCAGCTCCTTCACCTTCACCTTTTCCTATTCTAGCTCAGGTTTGGCAATGAATACATGCTCTGCCGCGACACGATCTTATTGGGTATTGGAAGGAAACTCGCGAAGCACTCGAAGCCCGGGACTCAGACGTCGAGCACTTGAATAAGCACCTTCGTTCAGCTCTCGAAACGATATCAGAAAACAACAGGCAGATTGAGGAGTTGCAAGAGAATTACGACAACTTTAAAATTTTGTTCGCAAAGTTTATTGATCCAGCAACCGAGGATAACAAGGCAATGAACCAGCTTTTTATTCAGTTGCGGTACGTACCAACGGTATCCGCTAGGGGGGAGGGGGAGGGGACAGCTTCCCAGGAAGCCGAATAATGGAGGTTGTGATGAGTGAGGTATGGTGCATGGCGTAGCCTCGATGGGAACGATATAAGATAATAGTCTAGTGATTGTCTTAACAACGAACCAATGCTTTCTCTATACTACTTGATTATCGAGCCATAAGTTGACTTATGGCTTTATCCTTGAAGAAGTATTTGTAGCATGGATTTCGTAACATGCCACTGTCATGCTTTTCGGCAAAAAATCGATTTCTTACTACAAAGATGGTGTTCAAGGCGGGATGCTTAATTAAGCATACCTACCAATATCGCCTACGCATGATCGTTTCTGCCTGAATATCTCCATACTCTAGAAAACAACATTTTGTTCATTACAAGCAGAAAGGAACATGCCTTCGCGTAAAGTAATCAGCGGAACACCCTGTCCAGGTCAACAGGCAGAGCATGCCCGAGCCGCCGGTCAAAGTTTCACCTCGGAACCACCTCACGGACTGAGCCCTTGGCAAGAACTCGATGACACTCCGTCTCAGCTACAACCGAGTAAGGCAGTTCCAGACTGTTCACAGCATCAATCTAACGATATCACAGAAACAACCTCCCAGAAGCGCGTTGCCGACTCCCAAGAAGACGAGCTTCCGCATAAAACACGCCAGCTGCAGGCCAAAGCTAGGATGTCGGAACTCACGGCAGAGGCTGCGGTCAAGCTCGCCAAGGCGTCAGAGAAGGAGATGAAGGTCGCAAGTACCAGAGCGGAAGCAGCTGAGAAGATAGCAGATGTCATGCAGATGCGTGCAGAGTATGACCGCCGAGCCTTGGGGGAGTGGATGGGAAACCAGTCTTCGTGAGAGATAGTTCATGTCGTTGTACACACAGTTCGATTGCCACAATAAGAGAAAGGTATTTTTAATGATGTCTCATAGTATTAATCACGAAAGATTAGCAGACTAATGTATTCATTGTTGCTATTTCCAATGCCTTACTTCTCCCTTGAAGTGATTCTCTACTTCTTGATAGGGCGCCTCCTTGCTACGTATGCGGCCCTTGCCTCGTCCAGCCAACGCTCCTCTGCCGCCTTTTTCTCCGCCTCCTTCTTTTCTGCTTCATGGATGGTATTCTGGACCAGCTTGGTCGCCTCCTCGACCTCGTCTTTTGCTATGGCAACCTCTTGCATAGCTTCCTCGATCTGTTTCTTTTGGGCTTGAATGATGGAGTCCATTGTATAGTAAACCAAGCTCAGGTCGTCCACCATGCGTATAGCTTCCATTTCGTCGTGCTTGTTCAAAGTTTCTACTACCTTCACTAGCTATACTATATGTTAGCAATGTGCTTTATCGCAGAGATATGAACTGTAGTACTTACCAATACGGAAGTCGAACTTTTGTCTTCTAATCTCTTTTGTGTGTTTGCCAAGTGCTTATCAACTACATCGGACTTCTCAGACCTTGTAGCTGAGCTCATGGGTCGACCAAGCGGCTTTTCAAGCATGCTGCTAATGTCTTTTATGACTTTGAAGGGGTCCGTGTATGCCATATTGGCGTCGTTCGGGTGGTTGGATGTGGTAGTTGAGGGGATACAAGAAGGAAATGATGGCAAATTGGTGTAGATCTTGCCTAGCAATATATCTACACAAGCAAAGGTGACTGCGTAAACTCAAACCCCCCTTCACCAGGCTTTTGCTACCCCTCAGTTTGTCGCAGTGAGTACGACAAATTGTTTTACACCGCTTTTTCAAGTGAGAGAGCATTTCCAATCTTTGAAGTTGGTCTTCTCACATTGCTTAGGTCGTGGCTATAGTTACGAAAAGATTACTGTTCGTTAGGACGATTAGAAGATTCCCTTTGGAGTTGATGTTTTCAAGCTAGAGCCAGTCCACCAAGCGGGCCAAATATAGACACATTGCTGATTTTGAGAGACCAAACAGTACAAACTCAGAGTTGTGGGATCACTCTGTAACTTCTGGCTTAGGGGTGAAGTCAAGGGCATGCTTCTGACCAATCAGATCAGCAAATCAATCGTTCTTCGGGTTGGCCGCGCATATCCGCGGTGAGAGGGTAGTCTCGACGATATTACCTCTGATATATTCTGAACTGTGGTCTCTTCACCGCTCGTGGAAGACTCTGGCAAGCCAACAACATATAGTTGGGATGAGTTGCCGTGTATCCATCAGTCCCATTGTTATGAGTAGAATCAGTCGATGCCTGGGATAAATGCCACGTGATAAACACTCCGATGTTGTTTTCTGGCTTTTCACATCGCGCTCGAATGCTCCTGGTCCCTACTCTTTTTTTTCAACACGTGTGAGAGAAATAGAGGGCGCCACAATAAAGCCGAATGGATGTGGCGTTGACGCGGCCAATCTGGTGGCCTGATCACGAGATGGTGGAGCTGTTGAGATGGTGGCTGCTTCTCAATTCCACCCGGACACTTAAACTACTTGCAGAGTGTATTTAAGACTCCACCATGGAAGGGCTGAAAGGCCGAGTTATGCTGAAGTAGGCATCGTCCGAGGTAAGTGCGATGATCTGATAAGATTAGATGTCATCGTGACCATGTTGGGGGCGCTAGTGCCGACGGTCATGAGGGGCAGTTCTCGCGCCTGGCTAATGGCCATACGACGGCTTCATTCCTTCACCTCTGCACCCCATCCGCATGACGGTTTCCAATACTAATAATTCCTGGCTTGTTTGAGCTTATTGGGTTCCATTTTTTTCTCCGAAGCGGACAGTTTTTCTTAGTCAAAGTCGCCATATTTATCCACACACACTCTTGTCATGGACGAGCTACCATCCCAAGGCACACTGCAACGGCGGCATGTTATCAGGCGATTGCCACGTGAAATTCACACCCAATGCCGCTACCCACCCTCGGATTCTTCCATTATTCGGGCGAGACCTGTTGGTTTTGTCAAGACGGGACTGAGGCTTCGGCGCGCACTGCTCGATTTGACGAGCCGGGAGCTATGGCCGCCACTGAAATTATGAGCCAAGGGCTTGGCAATGCAGGTTTGCGGTGGGGCAGCTGAGAGGGCGAAGGGACATTGGATCTTATCAGATCATCTAGGACTTATCTGATCATCTAGCCGCTGCTAACGCTGTCTAGGCACTCCATCCTACCTGGACGGTGGGAGATGATCCCAAGCCACCGGGTGGGATACACGGGGCAAATTTTTCATGTCTTGTTCCTGTCTTGACCTTCCCTGTCCGGTTCTCGGAGTGGGCCCTGGAGATACTTAAGAATGCTTCCATCTGCCGGTCTTGGGATCGACATCCACCTGCATTTCAATTCAATACCCTGCCTCGCCCGGCATCTTTTCGGAAATTCCGTTTGACCATGGCGAACAACACTTTTGAGACTGACGTGGTGCGGCCTGCAGAGGGCTTTCCTCGTCCCTCACACGATATCGACGTCGAGAAGAGAGGCGATGGAGTAGTCCACTCCCACGAGACGGCCAGTGACGCCGAGTCCAAGTCCGTTGAGTCGGAGAACTTCCAGAATGGCGTTCAACGTGTCCGTGCCATCACCGAGATATGGAGCAAGAAGACTCTAATTACCATGTTCATCTTGTTCGTCGCTCCTTCTCCCACCCAACGATCAAATACTGACCGACTTTTAGCTTGTACCTTATCGAGTTTGTTGCTTTCCTACAAAATGCCATTGACACAGCGCTCAACCCTTTCATCACCTCGACTTTTGCAAGACACGGCCTGTTGACCGTTTCGAGCGTCATGGCAACAGCACTGAGCGGTTGTGTTCCCCTTCTCATTGCCAAAGTAATCGACGTTTTCGGTCGCGTAGAGGGCTTCTTCCTTATGCTCCTTCTCGTCGTCTGCGGTATGGCCATGAAAGCTGCTTGCCAGAACGTGCAGACATATATGGCTGGCCACGTTCTCTACTGGGCCGGCCATATTGGTGTGCTATATGTTACTGACATCATGGCTGCCGATATCACCACCTTGAAGAACCGAATGATCATCCTTACTATCAACGGAACGCCTCGTATCGCTAGCACTTTCGCCGGTCCTAGGATTGCGGAGCTCTTTTACTACAAAAACAACTGGCGCTGGGCTTTTGGTGCATTCATCATCATCTTCATTGGCTGCTGTCTTCCCGCCCTTGTTGTCATGATGTACATGTACCGCAAGGCCAGGAAAGCCGGGTTGGCCAAAAAGGAAAAGTCGGATCGCAATTTCATGCAGTCAATCTGGTACTACTTTGTGCAATTCGATGGTAAGCTCCTCATGAGATACCTGTGACATATGCTAACATGGCGCAGTTTTTGGCATCATACTCATCATGTGCGCGTGGTGCTTATTCGTTCTGCCTTTTACCCTCGTATCCTACGCCCCCAACGGCTGGAAGACACCTTACATCATTGCCTGCATCGTTCTCGGTCTCGTTCTCTTTCCGGTCTTCTATATTTGGGAGGCCAAGTTCGCGCCTGTCCAGTTTTTGCCCTGGATCTACCTTAAGAATGGAACTATTGTCGGCTCGTGTCTTCTCTATGGAGTCATGTTCCTCTCCGTCTTCTGCTGGAACGGATACTTCTACTCATACCTGCTGGTCGTTCACAGGCAGAGCATCACGCATGCTAGCTATATTCTCAACGCCTTCTCGCTTACATCGTCAGTTTTCAGCCCGATAATTGCGTTATGGATCAGGTACTCTGGCAACTTCAAGTGGACTGCTTACACTGGTGTTCCCATCGTCCTACTTGGTACCGCACTCTTGATTCCTTTCCGGAACCCATCCACCAATCCCGGTGTCCTTGCCTTTACACAGGTTCTTGTTGGTCTTGGTACGGCATTTTTCGCTACTTGTGCTCAGCTCGCGGTCATGGTCCCTGTTACACATCAAGAGATCGCTGTAGTCAACGCCATCTACGGTCTCTTCGGCAGCTTCGGCTCTTCAATTGGTTACGCCATTGCTGGCGCCATGTGGAACAACATTCTTCCTGAACAACTCCTCAAGCGCCTTCCCGAATCTAGTAAACCAGACTATCGCACAATATTTGGCGATATTGAAGTTCAGAAGTCTTTCCTAGACGGCACACCCGAGCGCGATGCTATCGTTGGTGCATACGGTGATGTGCAGCGCAAGATGGTCATCACTGGTGCCTGTTTCGTTCCCCTTTGCCTGGCCTGCATTTTTGTTTGGAAGAACATCAACCTCAAGAAGCTGGAAGAAGAGAAGGGGAAGCAGACCAAGGGAAACGTTTTCTAGATGGTTTCAAAGAAGCCTGGCTGCTTCTTTTCAATCTCGTCATGGTCAGACGCTCTCTATTGATGATTCGGGATACCCTCGTTGCTCTTAGATACTCTAATGTACTATCACCACCAAAGCCTCTCAATCCTTCTAGTGATGTGTCCACGCGGAAATTTTGTCATGTGTGATATCAGTGTGATTGACATTGTTCACATGAGGGTCTACTTCGGCGTCTTGCCCCAACACATAGAACTGCTGACAAGTCATATGAGTCAATAATCGACGTCTGCCTACACCAGTAGGCACCAGGGGTGAGAAGATTGCGGCATAGGATATCCCATGCGAAGTGGGAAGCGATGGCAAGGCTATTAAGGGTACTAGCTTTGCAATCTAGGTTAAGGATATAGGACATATATCTACCCTTAGTAAATAAGTACCTAAGGACGGCACTAAGGACTCCCGTGCTAGCCATCTCTATAATAGAATAGCAGCACGCCTTAAGTAGATACTAATAGAATAAGGAGTTACTGCAGATTAGGCGCAGTACCACGTACGTTTCCCGTTCTAATAGAAAGACAAGAACGCCAGAGCAGCTCTACGAATGAAACTTGATGAATAGTACGCCTGTAAGGGAATAAATACCGAAAACACCCCAGCTGCCGACAAGGATCTCAAGGAGATCGAGTGAGATCCCCTCACTTGCACCTTGGAAGCGTGGAAGGATTGAAAATACATGTATAATACTTTCAATAATTGAGCTTATCCTATCATCTTCAATGGTATTGGCTACTTTTGTGATATGCTATCTGTCTCACGATTTGGTGTGTCCATCGTTGTTGCTATATGTGAGGCTCTGTTGATGGTGCTCACCGGAACGTATCGTCCAAAAGACCCATAACAACGAGTATAGATAAAGTGAGTCTATTCTCACAGTGAAATCATAGTGATTAGTAATGTAATAGCCGAGCTCCGGTCCTTGTACATTTGGCTTGCATGAGAAAAGTCAAGGTGAAGGTGCCTCTCACTTGCGTAAATTGCTCGCGAACCTTGTTTGCAGTAGAGATATCAAGGTGAAGTTGTCTCTCACTTGCGTGCATGGTCCGAAACCCCATATATATCACCCTATCCGCTGCTCAGCTCTTCTGCTCTCCAACTACACTCTAACGATACGCTCTCATTCCTTTACAAATTCCGCGCTTGTCCAATTTGTTCCTCTACAACTATCTTCGAACGCCCTTTGCTAAGACGGAGGAGAATGGCAGCCGTTCTCCCTCAGGGATCATGAGCCTCTCGCTGGACCGCTCCGCCACTCTTCTCCATAAGTAGTATGCCATGATAAGCTAGCACTGCTAATTCACCCCAGAAAACGCACTGCACGACACAGTGATGACTTGTCGACGTCTCACTGAACTTATCGACGATCTCCCAGCTGACACTCGAGATGCACGAATGGACAAGTCCGAGTCTATCATGAAAAATATGGAAACAAACCAGCCTAACGAGCACGGCAGTATCGAACCTGACCATGCCATTGTGGAGCAGACGAATGCAAACGCCATCGGTCAAGGACTCACCAGCCCCGAACCCAACACTGAAACTACCAATGCAGAAGACAGCAGTTCTAAAACTAGCAGCACAAGCCATAACACACGCGAGCTGACAGCTGTAATGGATTCATCCCACGGGCCATTCATGATAAATATTCACCTCGAACCTTTCCCCGCTAACTGGCAGAACAAAGCCGGTATTCCACATGCTTTTCAGCTCAGCAAGAGTGAACGATGCAGGCTATGGTATAACGCCTTTCGCACCTCCGATTTATACATGATTGGCACAAACAGAATCCCCGAAACTTTGTACGAACTCGTCCCCTTATTCGCGCGCTTCGCGGGCACAAATATCAATACGTTAATGATTTGGCACGTTCGTGTCATGTATCAAACTAGCGCTTGGTATAACGAGAGGAGCATTGATAACCTTCTTCTTCTTCTGTGCAATCTTGCGGAGGATTCAGAGCGCTGGGAACGGTTGACGTCGCCGGCTGGTGATAGCGCTAGTGGCTGTGGCATAGCTGAGGACAATGAAGATCACATGGTTAGTGGAGATGAGGATAGCGTGGTCGACGACGACAATGACGCGGCCGACGAGGAACCTCGTGACACTGACAAGGAGGAGGAGGAGGAGGAGGAGGAAGCTGAACAGGATGGCGATTCCATGGTTGATTGTAATAATGACGACACGCTCGGGGACGAGGACAAGGATGAAGAGTGTACTACGCAGTGAGCATCGAACACACACACAAGGAGGCAACCTGCGCATACCTTTACGACTCACAAGACGACAACGTATATACTTGACAAACAATATGTCATAAAAAAATTGATCCTGATTCATCCCCACAATCCCATGCACTGATGTGCCACAAATACTTACTAACGTGCGACCGCAAAACCACCACTCAGATCCACCGCTCAAAAACATCCCCACAGCAGCAGCTCCATCTTTCCTCCCTCTCTCAAACCAGTAGACGTACACAGCTCCAATTCTTTGGTTAAAATACCCAGCCGCGCTAAAAACGCGCTCGCGTCGCCACCCCACCAACACCTCGCCCAAACCTCACTTGCGGGGCAGTTTCCTGCGCCCCAAACCTCAACACGCCACGCAAAACATTTGGTAAACAAGATATAAGTGTTTACACTTTAATTCTTTCTATCAATTCATCCGGTATGGTGTATCGGCTAGCATCCGTCGCTTTCATTTCCAATGACAGCGCCCGACGAGAGCCGGGTTCGACTCCCGGTACCGGAAAACCTTCTTTTTTCTTTTTGCGTCGGTCAGTCCTGAAATCTAAGTAAGGATGGTTGACAAGTTATACGAACATTGCTTTTTTGTTCCATTCATTTTTGCTTCTTCTTTTCTTGATTCTTTGGAAGGGGTGGATGGAACATGTGGAGCTCATTTTAAACTTTTTTTCCTTGCGTAAAAAAAGGAAAAGAGGTCAAGGAGGTTCAATCACTACGGCGGGTTTGTACACAAGTGATTTGCATCGAAATGCGCGACAAAGCGTGTTATGCATGGTGTTGGGCAGGCCCACTATATACACTACACCATCACTCGTCAGTCTCCGTCTCGCTCTCTGGCGGCGGTGAAAGCGAGGAGCCGGAGCCAAAAGACAAAAAGGCCAAAGCAGCATCACCGTGCCCCCTCCTCGTCGCTACCTGTGGTGGCATGCCCGCGGCAATTTCCAACACCTCCAACAAACCCAGCAGGCGTTCTGAGCACGCATGCAGCAATTTCTTTCCCTGTTCTTCCTCGTGCGCATTACCTCGTTTCCCCTTTCCCGTGCCATAGACACCTTGCCGTGCCTCGATGCCTGTTTCCATGGCGTTGCGGAGTGCCTTTGTGGGCTCGAGAGCATCATGGTCCATCATGTATATGAAGAGCTGCTCTAGGATGAGAGAAATCTTTGCGTTTGCAGCGAAGCTCTGCGTTGACCCTTTGAGCGGGAGGAGCTTCTTTTCAAAGTGTTCTTGTGTGGGCAGGGTGACGAAGTAGTTTGGTGGTTTGCCGCTGATCAAGGGAGAGAGGAGGTTGGAGTTGAAGGCGAATTGGATGCCGTCGGGTAGCTTCATTGTGGGGAGGAGTGCTTGGAAGATGATTGTGGGTAATTGGATGAAGTCTTCGAGGATGGTATCGTAGAGGTCGAATAGGCGTGTGAAGGAGGTAGGTAGGGCTAGGGCTGCTTGTGCCAGCTGCTTCATGTTAGTTGTTGTCGTACTTGAGAGTATAGGCCACTCACCAGAGCCAAGAGACGCTGCCGCAGCTCAATCGCATCGTGTCCGCCCAAGTGTTCTATAGCATCTTGTGTGCTTTGGATACTCTTGTAGTCTTGAAACGCAGACGCTTCATCCGCATCCTCGCCATCCTCGTCCTCGGATGCATCTTGCATCTCGTCGTCGCTAGCATAGTCGGCAATGTCGCCCGTTTCAAAGTCAACCTCGCCGATTCGTTGTTCTTCGTCCTTCTTCCGCTTGGGCTCTGCTGTTTCCTTGTCCCAAATCTCAGGATATTCCTTGAGCGATTCAGGCATTCCAGTCGCAAAGATAGCCTTCACTATACGCCGTCTTCTTGCGCGATTCGTAGGTGCAGACTCATCGCCGACAATGTAATGCCAAAGCAGACTCTCCTGCAAGACGATTTCTGCGTCCACATTGCCGTCTCTGCTCTGCGGGACACTGAATTCCCAGTCGGCTTCAAGAAAGTTCAGCATGACCGCTAGCCACAGCTTCCATCGACTCCACCGCTTCTTATGTACACACGCGCAGTTGAATGCCCATCCCACAATGTGCCAAAAGTCCTCTGCGCGACACCACAAGCTCTTTTCGTTGGCAGCATCGCCGGCTATGCGTTCAATATCTCCACCTGGCTCGGGAGAAAGACTTCCTCCACTTCTGTAACCCGGTGCGCGTCTTCTATTGCGCTCTTCGGGGAAACCAAATGCCTTGCGTATGGTGGGGTATGCGGGGCCGTCTATGGTGCTGCGCATGCATTGCAGGTACTGTAGAGCGGCGTCTGCGCCTTCTATCGCGTCTCTTGACTGTGCTTTTGTTGTGCACTTGGGGTCTACGACCAAGGAAGAGGCAAAAGCAATGTAGGCGGGCGGTGCAAGGTAGCCAACATAGGGCCGTGCAGGTGTCGAGATGCTGGTTCCCGCAGCGAGTAGGCTGTATAGCAGGCCATAGCCGCTTACGTCTGGAACAATCATCAGTATATTTCCCAATATTGTGTCCAGTGACGTACATTGTCCGGCTTCAAGATAAGCTTTGGCATGGTTGGCAAGCTCATACGAGACTTGCTTGGTCGGCCGCCGTTGAGCACGTCGCGGACGAGCCGCTACAGCCTGAAGCGCTGGTAGTGCTGCGCTCGAGTTGGCCGTGTCTGGGGGCAATTCAGAAGTTGTGGGCGCAGAAGCAGGTGCCTTGAGTCGCGCCATTGAGGCGATGCGGCATGGAGTAGAGACGATGTGGGGGACGCGGGGAGACGGACGCGTCGGTTCACGTCATCACGTGAGAGATGGCATGAAATCTCCAATCTCCAATCTCGTATGCACATCAAAGCCGCAGCTTGGGTGAAGGCGAGTCGATGCATTGGAGATGTTTCGTCTGGCCGCAATCATCTCAACAAGAGCATCTCGTGTCCGCATCTATCGAATATCATCAATGGGGCTACCAACATTGCTGTGTTTACGGGCGTATCGGTGCTGACCACCATATTAATTCGCAGCTGAACATTTGAAAATGGCGTGAAGCCAGTAGTGCTGCATTATAGCCATATATGTAGTAGTAGCTGCATGGCAGACAGTTGTAAGCAAAATTGTAAGCAGTGTACATGCTCAATGTAAGTCAATCCTGGAGCTGTGTATTCCAGGCAACAAGCCTGTCAGCAACGGCATTGTGTTGAGCCATGCCACATCGGGGCACAGCTCTGGGAGAGGCCGTGAGACTGGGCTTACTCTGTCGCGCAGCAAAGCGCTTTCAGGGCTGGGGTTGACGGACAAAATATGTAACTTTTGTTAGGCGGTGGTGACGTCGCAGCGAGGATGCAGCGGAGCAGGGAAGTTGGGACATCGTGGTAATGCTAGTGTGGTTGCGAGGCAGGGAAAAGCGGGACCGGTTGGCGACGATCCGCAGCGGTTGTGTTTGGGCGCTGCATGGCCGTGACACTTTGCGGGAAGGCGCGACTGGCAACGGGCAACAAGTGGCAAGCTTGCACCTGGCATCGCGCACACATGACATCACCACGCTCAACGCCGGGCAGCCCTCGCGCTCGAATTCTTTCATCACTCTCATCATTAATAATAAAGGAGAGGGAGAAGAAAAAAAAAGGCGGCTGTGTGAAAGACAAAGACCGGCCGGGGCTTTCTTGGAGCGTGGCCGAGCAATGAAACTCGGGCTTGGCTGTGTTTGACACTGGGGCAGGCACAAGTGTTTGACGGGTCGCTCCACTTCCCCCTGGCAATACCCCTACTCGCTCTACTCTACACAGCCCACCCAGCCCCCAGCCCGCAAGGTCCACGGCGGCGCCAATACGTCGTCATCGCAACAAGTCGCAGCACACGGCTCATCAAAGCCAGGGCCGTCCTCGCTCGCCCCATCTCTCGTCCTCTTGATATGTAATTGCCCGAGCACGCTCGGCCATCCTCTTTTCTTGCCTACCTACCTGCCTCCTCTCTTCAACCACGGATCATCCGCCAGTACCAGTAGCTCAAGCCTCTTCCCGGCCAATTGCCGAGCTTGCTTCTCCCGCTACTCTACACACCACTGAGCTTGGCTCCAGACAGCTCATATACTGCAAGCCCTGCCGCCCAAGCTGCCCTTCTGACCGACCCTTCGCCCACGAAGCAATGAGTGAGTGTCCCCACCTCCTTTGACCTGTTTTTCCTTTCTTCCCTTTCAACCCCTACCTCCCGCTGTGCGAGTTGGGCCGATTGTGCTGCATTGCCTATCAACTCACCTCCAGCTTTACCCGCCCACGGCTCGTCGCTGCGCCTCATACTAAGCAGCGCACTATCACCAACCTTCCTACCTCGTGCGCTTCTTATCCCATCGTCACACACCGCATCGCTAATCCCCCGGCCTTGGCAGAAGACATAAAGCGACACTTCCACCGCCACGGTCGTGCGCCCAGTTATCCCCAACAGCCTGCCATGCCTCAGCCTGCCAATGGCCGTTATCACGATGAGCACACCCCGCTCATCGGTCGCACCCAAAACTCTGCAGACGAGTCGCGCGTCAAGACGCTGCCCAAGCACATCTTGCATCTCATCTACGCCACCCTTGCCAGCAATTATGTCAACGTCTTGCTTGTCTTTGTCCCCATCGGCATCGTTGCCGGCGCCTTGTCCTGGAACCCTACCGTCGTCTTCATCCTCAACTTCATCGCAATCATCCCTCTCGCTGCCCTGTTGAGTTTCGCCACCGAGGAGCTCTCCGCCAAGCTTGGCCAAACCCTTGGTGGTTTGATGAATGCGACGTTTGGAAATGCCGTCGAACTCATTGTATGTGCGCACGCATCTGATGGTCCCCTGCGATCGCTAATCCAACCAGGTTTCCATCGTTGCCCTCAGGCAGGGTGAGATTCGAGTTGTTCAGGCCAGTATGCTCGGCAGTATCCTGTCAAACATTCTCCTTGTATGTCGCGCGTCCTAGCTCCCGTCCAACTCCCTTCTAACCCATTCGCAGGTGCTCGGATGCTGCTTCCTCGCTGCCGGTATTAGAGAGCGC